TGTGTGTGTGTGTGTGTGTGTGTGTGTGTGTGTGTGTGTGTCTGTGTCTGTGTGTGTGTGTGTGTGTGTGTGTGTGTGTCTGCAGGGGACGGCCAGGTGGACTTTGAGGAGTTCATGACGATACTGGGGCCCAAACTGCTGTCATCTGACAACAGAGAAGGATTCCTGGGCAACACCATTGACAACATCTTCTGGCAGGTGAAAGACAAAACTTTCTCCTCCTCCCAACGCTGGAGTTTCTCATCACTCACAATCCCCATCACTTATTAGTTACGTCCTTTACGCCTCCTCTTTCTAACTCTGCCTCACCTCTCACTGCGTATGCCAGCAGTCAGGTCAAGTCTTACATCCTTAAGCACAAACCCTATAGTGTCTGCAGGGACTCTCCAAAGGCACGCACCTACTTAAGTGGAAAAATGCACACACACACACACACACACACACACACACACACACACACAAACACTCTCAGGCCCCCCACACCGTTCTTCTGTTCTCTGACAAAAACAGAGACTTTTTTCTCCTTTCGACTCAGGGCCTCGAAGGAAAAGATACCTGCTGAGAATTAAAGTGTGTTTCTTTTTGTGAGTATGTGTGTATGTTTTTGGGGTTGGGTGTGTGTTTATCATCCACAGTGTTGCAGAGGGTATTTCCATAATAAAGATTTCAGGGATGTGCCCCAGTATGAGGAAAGTCTGAGCTTGTGTGCTTTCAAGTGTCCAAACTTGTCTCAGTGGTTAATAAGGCTGCAACTCATCTGCATGCTTTTGAACGTGCTTGCTTTGTTTTTGAAAATTGCTCCTGAAAGAAAATTTGCTGCTCTCAAAGTGCTTTTTTGCCTCTTAGGTAAGACATGCGACAATAATGAAAAGTGCAGGGTTTTGAGTGTGTGTTTGTGTGTGTAGAGGGAGGGGGGGGGGGGGGAGTGTTGAGTGTGAGGACGGCTGGTTGAGCAGACAGCTCTCAGGAAGCAGTTCTCTGCTTTCCTTGAGTCAAATGAGAGGAGAAACATTTAGAGGGTGACTCACTAAAATGAGGAGGTGTGTCTGTGTGTTTCAGGTTACAAACTCATACTGGGCCATATTTACATAGTTTTTTATCTTAGCTTTTTATTGTGCAATCACCTCAGAAAAGCAACAAAAAAACAACAACTATCTATGCCATTCACATGTTGGAAACTTAAGATCTTAACACCAACATAATTTCTTTCTGAATCGTGTGAAATGGAACACCTTTTATAAATGTGACACATTGCATCTGAAGGAGGGATGGAGCAAGACGGACTTCAGTGTGTCAGCCAGCAAGGCTGAAATAGATGAGAGAATAGAGAGACGAGATGGACAATATGTGAGGATGGGGAGGGTGGTGTTGGTGCAGGGGAGAAGGGGGGGGGGGGGTGCCCCACATAACGATACAGGAATATAAAGGAAAATCACAAAGGAGGAGCGTCGGAAAGAATGAAAGAAGAGGTATGAGTAGAGCCTGTGATTCATGAAGGTCGCAGACAGTGTTCGTCTCAGGATTGATTTAAAATATTCACGTCCCACAAAGAGGAAGACAGACTAAAGGAAAACAGGAAGAAGAGGGAGGAAAAATGAGAGGCGGAAGAAGAGAGAAGCAGGATAGGAGGGAGAGGGAGAAATGAAAGCAGAGCGAAAGAATATAGGAAGAGAGAGGAGGAGGGGATGAAATGGTGGGAGGAAGTGTGTCTCTGGGGACGGTGAGAGCAGCGTTTTGTGTGTGTATTTTGTTTGTCTATTTATATTTCACAGACCTCAGAGGGAGACAGGAAGAGAGGGAGTGTCATTAAAAAGAGAGCGATGGAGGAGGAGGAGGCCCATCATGGTGGGCCATAATGACTCAGTCCACAATGTTCAGATAATATCCCCTCACAGTGAGATGTATAATGATTGACTTCTTCGTATAGGGACTGGAGTTGGTAGTTTTTGAGTGTAATTACATTTTGTGTGTATTTGTGTGTGGAATACATTTTGTGACAAGGTGATTGTATCCTGTTGTTTGATTTAGTGTACAGGTGAAATATCTGAAAAACATTTTTGTTTTTCTCTAGCATGGTCTGAATAACAGCTGCTGGGGAGATTTAGATATCTGCTTTGAAAAAACTAGTTTGTGCTGACGGTAAATGAAAAAGTCAGCATCCTGCCTACCAAATGAAGCTACAGTGCCTACAGATGGAAAACAACAACTATCCTTTGAGCCAATATCTTTCTGCGGGTTAGGATTAGGGTATTGCTGACCTTTAGAAGTCTAACAAAGCACACTTCTGACCATCAGTGATGCTATGTGTGGTCAGAGCTCAACGCGAGAGCGCAGTGAAACACTATTCAACCTTACAAGTGCCCACTTTGAAAACGGTACGTGCTGTAGTGTTTTGTTGGCTATACGCTTGATTTTATGCAACTAAAGCTACTTGTTTAAAGGAGCAGTTCAACTTTTGATGCTGCGATATATGCTTTCACTAAAAGTGCTTGTTTTTGCCACTGACAATCTCAGATTCTTATTATGGAAACGACCCTAAAGAGAAATAAGACTATTTTCTTTATCTTTCACTTGATCCCGTCTGTTTGTTATTGTGTGTCTCGCTTGGAGAATTGTCATTCTAAAATCTGGCATTGCAACAAAATTGTCGAAATCAGCTGAATATTCATTGAAAAACTTTGAGATAACAAACTAGCTCCTGTTTCTGCACAAACTCTGACAACACAAGAGTCCTCTCTCCAACTGTCACTTACGTTTCCATCGTTGTCTTCGGGCATCAGGGCACATGACAATAACGAACAGGAAGTCAAAGGCAAAGAAAACTGTTTTATTTCTCTGTAGGGTCCTTTCTTAAATGTTGTCAGGAACTTCTAATAACAACCTGAGCCTGTCAGTGGCTGAAACAAACACTTTTAGTTGACGTTAATTGACGATGAGGATTTACCCCAAGAGTTTACATTGCATCCTGTTTAGCAGCTGCTGGCTGCAGCGTTTTCCCTCAACACTGGACCAATTTAAAAAATGACTGTCCCCAGGAGTCCCTTAGACACAAAGACATGGGTAAATAGGGTCCATGTTGAAAAACAGCGAAGTTACTCTTACGTATTGAACCGACCGACATCAGAGGGGTATTGATCCTCTCATCAAACAAAGCAAAACTAATTACTCCTTTCATGTTAGGGAAAGATTGTGGTCATGTATTGACTGACGGTAGTAGATGGGAAGCCATCGACTACCTGTCAGGGTGTAAAAGTTACAGACTTTGTACGGCCCACGATTCACCCAGACATTCTCTCCAAGATGTCTTCAGTAACATACACACCGTCGGTCTACTTTCACCTTTGTGAATCAGTCAGAAGAGCCTTTATTTGTGCGACTGAAAGAGTTCCCTCTCTGTGCTTTTAGTTTATGTTAGTGCATGTGAGCGTGCCCCACTGGTTAGCTCCCAAACGCTGCTCTGCGCTACTTTCATACGGCGTTTACAGCTGACAATGCTGCCCCTGGTTGGACATTATTAGCTGGTTGTTTGGACTGTTATAGCACTTGTAGCTATGAGCTGCCGGCTCACCGTCGATATGTTGAGAGCTGTTGAGAGGCAATCAAAATACGCCCAATCTCGGTTCCTAGGCACCTTCCAGTACTTCAAAAACCTACAATGTCATTTATTTTGGGTGAGGACAGTCTCTCCAAGCAGCCAATTACGTCCCTTTATCTACTCAGTGTGAAAATAGAATGACAGACTCTTTTAACTTGTGAACATCCAGTCTGCAGTCTTTTGTGTCAAAAGTCACATTACAAATGTAAAGTTAAAGTTTTATCAAGTTAGTTGCATGTTTTATTAGTTTCTTTTTGGTCGACTACCTGTCAGCATTGACGAAAACAGAAACTGAAGAGAAGGATGGAGGAAGCAGAACGAAATAGCCGGACAGTGACAGGCTTATCACTGACGTCTGCATCTGTTGAGGCAGTCTGCAGTGTTCATACTGACGACCGGTGATGCCAAATGTAGAGTGAAAAACATTATATAATAACTGCATTTGGTGGATGGTTTCATCCAAAGTGCGGTACCCTGAGTGCAATTATTTTAACGCTAGTATATAAACAATGACTGGGATAGGGCCTCTTTGGTTTTAGTGCCTCGAATGTGGAATATTTTTCATCACATTGAATTGTGACTGATTTTGTTTCTGTGGATCTTATTCATGTATTTGTGGTTGACTGTAGCCTCTGCTTACTTTGTTAAAAATAACTTATCTCACCTGCAATGTTATGCTAAGATCTGTCACCTATGTTTTGTATTCGTGCACATACAGTAAAAGACATGTGTGCATCTTTGTGTTTGCATTGTGAGACAGAAAGAAAAATAAGACAAAAGGAGTACAGAATAAAAGAAACAATGCTCGCAGGTTGTCACTCTGGGTGACTTTTTAGAGAAGGGTCAGAAGACAAAGCAGTTGGACGACTGGTGAAACAAGCTTGTTTTGTAGGAGGGCAGGAAGGATTAGACTGGAGGGACAGAGTGTAAGCTCCTGTTCTTGTGACTGATGTGTCTTGGCTCCTTCAGCATGTCACCGGTCACTGCTCGCGAAGGACGAAATCCTCATTCAGATTTAGGGGGGACCGAATGACTAAGTGAGAGAGAGTGGGACATTATCAACAGCTTATTATTATTATCTAGTTTTGTGATTACATTTTACCTGAACTAACACTTTCAATCTATCTATCACCTTAACGTTTTATCCAATCTCAACACTTCATTCGTGTATGTGATTATGTGGCGTAGCGTAGCGGTTAAAACCCGCCTCCTCTTGTCGAAGGTGCTTGGTAAACCCCACAGCTCCACCGAGAGGGTGGTTTCCTAGTAAACTTTGGGGTATGCCCGACACAGCTAAGATCCACAGTGAGGTTACACACTGGGGAAGATGTTCTGAAGTAGTCGAAAAAATAATAAATTCGGTGTAATCAAGACCTGTGGTGAGTCTGTGTCCATCGGGGAAAGCTTCTGTTGTGTGGTATTTATAGCCTCAGAGACCAAGGCACCGATTGGCAGAGAGTGCTCTCAAGGCACAACACATACTGAGTATTGTCTTCAAAATTCAAATATCCACCACTGCAGAGAGAAAAGAACAGAGTAGATGATAATGAAGAGCTTTTGATGCTGCTGCAGTGTTTGTTGCATTTAATCACTAATTCCTCTATTATTTGTTTGCAGTTGACTGTAGCCTCTGCTTTCTTTGTTAAAAATAACTTATCTCACCTGCACTTTCATACTAAGATATGTCCCCTATATGTTTTTGTATTTGTGTACATACAGTTTCCTTTAAGCTAAAGAACTGTTGTCCAAAGTGAGACAGAAGCTTCATTTGAACTGAACGTGCCAGCTAACCCTGACAGCACTGCTACGAGACAGAAAAACAAGACAAAAGGAGTACAGAATAAAAGAAACAATGCTCGCATGTTGTCACTGTGCGTGACTTTTTAGAGAAGGGTCAGAAGACAAAGCGGGTGGACGACTGGCGAAACAAGCTTGCTCTGTAGGACGGGAGGGACGGAGTGTAAGCACCTGTTCTTCTGATTGATGTGTCCTGGCTCCTTCAGTCACCGGCCACTGCTCGCCAAGGACGAAATCCTCATTCAGATTTCGGGGGGACCGAATGACTGAGTGAGTGAGAGACTAAGTGAGTAAATGAGTGAGAGACTGAGTGAGTGAGAGTTGGAAATTATTTCTTATTTTTCTAAAGCTTATTATTTTCTAGTTTTTTGCATTTTACTTTGTCTGATATCACTTTTAATTGTTGCTGCACAATCACCTGACCGTTATATCTTATCTCAATACCTCATTCATGTTTCTGATTATGTGGCTTGTAACTTAGCCTCTTCTGCTCGTAGCTGGAAACCCGGGTGTTTACAGTGACAGCTGATAACCAGCTTCATGAGACTGGTTGTCCAGGATGATTTAGGTTAATTTTAGTGAAGAAAGTATCCCAAAGAGCGTCCTCGGGACAACAGCTAGTGGTTGGCTGCCAGCCAAGTTCTACAAACTTGTTTTTCTCTCTGTGGCTGTGGATGTCCTTCAGAGACCAGATATCACTCTGTTGGTTGTAACAGGTAGCGGTTCCACTGTGGCCTTTTCCCCAGTCGACAGACAGACAGGAACATTGCACATTCTCCGTGCTCCTGCTCTGAGCTGTCATGTTGTCTGTCCTACGTCTGCAATCCAAAGAGTTGTTCCTCCTTTTCCCAGCATCCATACAACGCAGAGACAGCTTTGGCAAGAAGGTGAGCAGATCAGGCAGCTCAGGCAGCTCAGGCCCTCCAACTGCTGCTGCCGCTCCCTGTCTCTCTGCCCTGGAGGGCCACACAAGGTTGCATGAGTCAGAGCAGTTAAACATCCAATCAGTATTTTTGTTTCACCGTATAAATTCTAGGTATAATCACATATTCAATAGATGAAGGGTGACGGTGGCTAAGTGGAGCGCAGGGCCGTCTTTCAATCAGAGGATCGGCGGTTCGATCCCCGACACTGGCTCCGCTAGTCGCATGTCGATGTGTCCTTGAGCTTAACCCCAAAAATTGCTCCCGTAGCTGTGCCTACGGTGTGGTAGAATCTGAATTGTAAGTCGCTTTGGATAAAAGCATCTGCAGTAATGTAATGTAAACAAAGATTGAAAAAATGATCATTAAAATTGTAGGACCATTTTGAAGATTAATCTGAGATTCAGTTTTTGTCTATTAATAGTCCATGGACTAACGCAACAATTACATTTTGGATTTTGGCAAAGGTGCATATAATTTATGTATCAGACCACTTTTCTATCTTCATCTTCTGCTGTCACTTTTGCTTGTTTGCTGTTCAAAAAAGGCCTGCTTGTGAAAACAAGCCCTTTGAAAATGAAGAGAAAATGGTACTTTTAGTTCGATCCAAGTTTGCCAAATTGAGAATAATATTGATGTTAGGCTCTTTTGTTTTTTTGTTTTTCTATTTACTGTAGTTACCAAATGGAGTGTTCTGCATGTGACAGAGGGAAGAGTAAACAAAAACACGTTGCATCGAAACCAGAATGATTTAATGAGTGTGTCTGTTTTTGTACGAGTGAAATAATTTTTCTATTTACTGCAATGTCCCAGGTTTGCTGTTATCTTTTGTTTGTGACGTACATGAGTGTGCATCCACAGGCATGTTTTCATAATTACGGTGTAAATCACCTGAAAAAGCAGTATGAATGATTGCAATTAATACACATTTGCAGTGCCTTATGACTGCATATGCACACATCAGCAGACATGCAAAATACATAAGAAAAACAGACTCAGTATTCCAACGTTAATGCATGTATAAAATGTGTGTGTTAGCGTAGATGCTGCAATAGCATCAGTCACATCAGAACTGTGGAGTATTTCCAGTGGTTGAGCTGTTTTCTTCTGTTTCCGGTCGAATGCTTCACATTTCAACGGACAAATATAAGAGTGGTATCAATCTAATCATCTAACTCTCAGCAAGAGAGCTATGCAGCTCTGCAGCTTTCCCAAAATGTCAAACTATTCCTTTGAATTAAACTGCAAATCTGACCAAGCATTCAAGGTCAAGTTTCATTCATTTCGGTTAGTGCCAATATTGAGGTTTGTTGCCCAGTCCTATCAGCTGTTTGTCCTTTGTTAAACAACATCTGATGTTTTACCTACGGCGGTTGAGCATAAAAGATGCTGTTTTAAGGGTTTAGCGAGCATGAAAATACCGTTCCCTCTTGAAATGAACATCTCATCACCATCACAACTCTTTTACGTCTCTACCACAATTTGTCTAGTTCTGTTTTCTCCATCTGTGTCTCCCACTACTTCTTTTGCCTCATTTGCTCTGACTACACCATACTTTCCTATTTTCATCTCACAGTACGTATCTCTGTCTTTCTCTCTCGTTATATACACCCATTTCTTCCTCTTTGCTTCGCCTGCCTCAGTATGTCCATCTGTTGTGCTAAACCAAGCGACTGATTGTATTTGAGACTGTCACTGAGGTAAATAATCTTGACATAGATACTGATGGGTTTGAGGATGGTGTGTTCAACAGTGTCTATGGGTTTTAGAGGGTATCAGCTGTGGGGGGGGGGGGGGGGGGCAGGAAGGACGTGGTGTTTTGGAAAGGCAGACAGGAAATAGGACAGAGGCTAAGATTCATACTTCGAGTCAGGAATTGGTCAGAGCCCATTAATCATTTTAAACACAGACGTGAACACACAACTGAGAATACAACCACTTAAAGGGGCATACATGTGCCTGTCTGTCCTTTGCCACTGATGCATCCATTAAACCAATTGGGCTTGCATACATTTATTTTCCTTTATTAATACACACACACACACACACACACACACACACACACACACACACACTGGTTTGCATACTGATTCAGGCACCCAAAAATAGCGTCAGTGATGCTAGGCATCATGCTGCCGTTACATTACAACTGACACCTTTCCAATGTTCATACTGTGCCTATAAGTTACAAATTTAGGCAATAAAACACAAACTCATACATGCCATAAATTTGTGCAGCTTATACATTTCACACCTCATTCTTATCTTCTGTATTTATCTGCCCTCATAAAGCCAGTTTGTGGATGACTGTGTCTCTGCATTGATCGCCTTTTCCCCCTGCAGTTTGACATGCAGCAGATGTCTCTGGATGAGCTGAAGCAGGTGCTGTTCCACGCCTTCCGGGACCACCTGACAATGAAGGACATAGAGAACATCATCATCACCGAGGAGGAGAGCCTCAATGAAAACTACTGCCCTGAGTATGAGGGAGGTGAGGAAGCTGTTCTCGTGGAAACTTTGCTTTTATAAATATACAGGTATATCAGGTATATACTTGGAGTTTGCATTAACTAAAAATGATGTCCATGGGGGAGATATGACTACTTATTGGTTCGGGCAAAATTAAGCAAAATACCCTCCCTACAAGACATCGGCCAACATAGTCACAGCTAGTCTGGCCCTGCAATGTTCAAACATTCAACTATAAGCACCTCTAAAGCTCACTAGTGTTATCTCTCGTTTGTTCAATCAGGACACAAACAGAATTGTAGTTACCACAAGTTGTAACTACTTGTTGGTGACCAGGAGATCCAACAGAGGCAGAGGGAAATAGTGAAGAAAAAATATTGTGGAGTGTGACGGCAAGAAGAAAGGTTAAGAAAAGTAAGATCGCACAGCAACAGTATGGAAACTTGTTCTGAAGTTTTTGTTCAGTAAGAATAAAGTGGAAAAAACACTTCTTAACTAACACACTTTTAAATTACTTTCTAAGTCATGCTTGGAAATATTCAAGGTGAAATTCTTCATTTTTAATCTGCTGTTCTATCAACATGAATTCCATCACAGAGGGTTTCATCTGTAACGGGGCGATCCTGAAAGCGAGGTCAAGAATGCTGAGGCATATTGAAAAAAACAGATGTGATATTTAAATGATAAACTATATTAGTCTCAAGGTAATGCATTTTTTGTTGTGTTTTAAAGCCAGTGTTTGAGAGACAAAGTGAAACACAAAAGGCATTTTTCTTCAGATGTAAGACCAAGTTATGCTGCTTTGGGGAGAGGAGAGGCAAAAGCCTAAATCTGACCCTGTGTCAGTTATGGTGCAGAGCAAGAAATTGCCTTTCTGCTGTGAAACATCCACAAGTTAAACTAGTACAAAAGTAAAGACGAATCAAACACGCTAGAAAACCAGGAAAGTCTTAATGAATCCATTGGGTAGTGGCCTACAGTCTCAAGGAAACCTAAAAAGAGACAGCTGGGAGGAAATGGTGAAACTTAGCAGAGAAGGGACAGTGAAGGAGGAGATAAGAGGCTAAAGAAGGAATCAGGGAACTGCTGGCTTGGCATTCTCTTTCACAAAGTTTTTGGGGTTGAGGGAAGGAGTTAGTGAGAGGAAACTGTAGAAAGGCGTTGAAAGAGGAGGAGTAGGAAGCTGGAGAGTAAAGAAGGGATGAAGAGGTAAAGAGCCTCTCTTGTAAGGCACAATTGAATTACTCCCTATTTAACCCTCTTCATCCTCAGGTTCCCTCTTTCATGCGTGCTTCCTTTCCATCTTCTTCCTGTCCGTCGGGACTTCAACGGATTCCACAGTCCCTCTCAGATCCACGACTCAGAGCTCTGAGTTGATTTATTGATGCAGCATGTGATATAACAAACTGAGACAAGGAGGCTGACAGGGAGGACACTTTTGGTGCTTGCTCTTGCTGTTGGACGGCACATCTTCCTCTGCTCCTCTTCCTTTTTCTATTTGTCTTCGGGGGGACTCCTCTTGTCTTTGTTTCTGCTGCTTCATAGAAAGTATTAGAACAAGTTTGTGCCCTTCATTTTTTCGGCGTTTTTACATTGGAGATATTTCCACTGATGATTTGGGTCACAAATAAGTTGCAAAACCTTAACTGAAAGGTCCAGTTACCCGCTTTTTCAAAGCTTTTGACTGCATGTACTGTATGTAGGAGTCATCATGTTAGCTTCGGTAGCTGTTCGTACTGTGTGTGGGTGGGAGATCATGACCCCTGTTAAAGGATGGTCATTGATGTGAAATGTATCTGGCTCTATCCAAAGAATCTGCCTATCAGCTCTTTTTAACGTACACAACTTAATATGTAATAACTTGTGTATTTAATCTATACAAAAACCAAAGTGTAAAAACTACAACGTACAGCTGGTTATGTGCTGGACTATTTCTACTGACTTCGTGGAGTCATTGTTGTTGTTTTTTAAGAAATTAAATGAGTGAAATATAACGTGTTACCAGGCTAGCTCTTTCCCTTTGCTCCCAGTCTTTATGCTAAGCTAAGCTAACTGTCTCCTGGCTCTTTCTCCATGTGGTATCGCCCTTGCACTCTAACTTCCATCAAAAAGCAAAAAGTGTATGTCCTTTAAGGTTGTATTTTATATTTATTTTGTATTATTACATTGTAGTCAATAAACTAATCAATTAATTAACTAATCACCATCACATGAGAGGCACAAACTGGGGATAAAGAATAACAACCATACTCCTGTCTATTATTTATTTTCTCTTTTCTTTCACTCCCCTCAGTCCATCCTAAGAAGAAGAATCGACAGACGTGTGTCAGGAAAAGCCTGATCTGCGCCTTCGCTATGGCATTCATCATCAGTGTCATGCTCATCGCGGCCAATCAGATGCTGCGGAACGGCATGGAGTAACCAATTGCACTGTGAGCATGGGGAGTGGACAGAACAGCCATGACCTCACATCGTGTCTTTGCAGCCAAAGCAGGACCAGCCACAACCCGAGCACTTCTCTAAACAGTCAGTTGAGTTTTTTTAAGTTTAATTTGAACTTACCTTATAGAAGCAGACAACGTGGGTGAAATGAAGAGAAGTGAAGGTTTATTTGTTTTGCATTGAAGATGTCATCATGTAGAGTTACTGGACTCACTGGTCACAAGGAACCTGAACTGGAAAATAATTCTGTTTGTATAAAAACTGTGAGAATAAATTGAGGGTATTATTTTGACCGCCCTTTAAACTTGATTTTCTAATTACAAAAATGTTTATAAGGTGCTTTGAGTCATTCCTAATTTGGAAATCAAACAGTGGTTATTATGGACAACTGCATATTTACCCTAGAGAAGTAGCGTTAAATGTGAGTGAATGTGGGCGCTGAATGTTGGGCACAGTATTTAGATGCATAGTAAATCCCTCACATCTCATATAGTGATGTTTTAACATCACTCCTTCTGTGAAACATCGACATACTCGACTCAGTCCACTAATCTTGGGGCACATGAAGTCTTTATGTGTATCTGCAAGGAGCACAACTCAATACTCAGTGAGGAACCAGTTAAGAATCATCACTGTCCGCCTGTCTTAAGTCTTGGCATTGATTGATTGATTGATTGAGTGATTGATTGAATGATCCCTTGACATTTGTGTGGGTGTGTAAGGCAGTACATAATGTCAGCTCAGGCTGTCTGAGAGGTTAAAATTGTATGAAGGCGGAGCTATGGTTTTGGTTATTAGTAAGACCAGATATAGATATATTTCACCTCAGCATCTCATTGTAATACTGCCCAACTGTGGTAAAATAGGCCGCACAAAAAGCATGCCAGTATATATACTGCCATATCAAACAATACTCTAACTCCCATGGATTTCACTGTATGTACTACATAAAGTAGTAGCCTACTGTTTGTGTGTAAAGTATTTTTTTTCTCAAGCAGAGTGTATGAAGGGTAGAAACTAGTGAGATAATTCAGGGATATACAGTAGAGCTTTGACATGCTGTGCGAGCAGCTGTTTTCTTAGAAAAGGTTGCAGTCTAGTGGTTAAAATGAGATCTGCATCCAAACGCTTCAACAGCCACGTTTACAAGGTGTTCAGAAGGGAGGAACAACGCCACTGAATTTGAGCTTTTGACATGTGCTGCGTCAGTGTCACTGGAGCAGTTTGGTCTGTGTAGGTGAACATTCACTATTTTTAATGGCAAATCTACAAATAGTTTCCCCCACAACCCAAATTGTGTCATCGTACCAGTGTGCAGCTCAGGATTGGATGAGAGAGTAGAAGTGACCGCTGCAGTAGCTGTGGTAGTTTCTGGCGTCATAGCTACGTATGTGTTATGGTTTAGACCTGATAGCACTACAATTTTATAAACCATACTGTGGTGAAAATGTTTGGAAAAGACCTTGTAGGAGTTTACAATCATGTTCCTCTTCTTTTATTATGGATAATAATAACACCCTTTCCCAATGTTGAACATCCTAATGACACCTGGGAGACAGAGAAACATCGTTGTTTATCTATGTTGGAATAGTATTGTAATTATATGTTCATATTCTGGTATTGTTTTCCAAACATTTCTTGTCATTCAAAGCTAAGATTACGATTAAGTTTTTATGAAACACATTTAAAGAGTCAGTGGAACACCGTTCATTACGGTGAGCATCAGTTCTATGATCTTATATGTGATTATTTTGCGATATTAATAGATATGGTAAACATATTTTCACTAATGTTGTGACAATTCATTTGACCACATCACCCGGCCCTATGTTGATGCCATCTTTGAAATACACTGTTCGTTCATACGGATTGCAACATTATGTGTCATAACAGCGACATATGTGGATTCCTAAATTGCACGGTGCTCCCGTTGGACCTGATTGGATCAGAGACTGGTTTGGACTTATTACTACCTTTGAAGCCATTATTTGTTCTGATGAAAACCAGACGAGATATTTCAATCACACTAATGTGCAGCCATGTGAGTTTATACGCTGTCCGGGTAAGACGAAATATAAAGGGGAGAGGGCTTTCTCTTGAAATAAAAAATAGCTTTGTAAGATCAAGTATCACAGCAAAAATGTATTATACTGTAAATCAGTATGCATGTTGTTGTTTCGATTTTCACGTCTTTGAAAGACAGGGAAATCCATTTAATCTTTCTTTGTGGTGGCACTGCCTTGGTTTAAATGTAAGTATGTACTACTCCCACATATTTGACTTTCCAGTTTATACTGTAACAGCCATTTTTTTTTCTAATTTCTACCAGCTACTAATCAAATCAGAGTGCAGGAGAGGGCATTTCCATAAATATGCAAATACAAGGTCACATCATTATCGACATCGTCTATGTTTCACGTCTTCTAGGTTAGAGTCTGTAGGCCTCACTGTGGTTGGTTAAAACTGACATTGGATACAATATATTGTGTGTTTTAGTCACATTAGGTTTTTATTGAATGTTTTCACTGCCTCATAGTCCTGTATAAACTGTTGTATAATGTTTGCTTCACTAATCTTTGTGAGTCAGTTTATGTCTTTGATATTCTCAGCACATTGGCATTTGACCAGTGGACCATGTTTTCACCTTTGTCTATTAACTTCATGGTCCTTTTGAAACCAGCATAGACCACTTTATCTTTACAATTCTCTAATAATTGTGCCATTCAGACATCCTTGCATGACTATGTAAGGGAACTTATTTGAAAGACCTTTTATCAACACTTTTGAAGTTTACATTATGATACTGTACATCTGTAACAGGACGGAATCAGTTCATGATTTTCATGTTTTTGAAAGTTGCTTTGGAGATTTTGTTTTTACCAAAACATGTTTTTACCTTGTAGATTGTATGGAGATAAAATTAAACACAGATATGTAATACAACCGTGGCATGCTGCCTAGAAAAGGAGAAAGAAAACAGCAATAGTCGCCAACCGAATGGATATTTAAAAATGCAAATAACAAGTTTAATCTGTTTAATCTAAAAAAAATATATCCATATATGTTTATGCAATAAAACCTTGTTTTGATAGAAATATAAAGCATCTGTATTTATTTGTGAGAGATGTTTGTGCCTTGGGATTCTGCAATTCTGTACCTAATAACCAAACAATAATACCCAGTACTATAAAAAGATAAAACATTATTACATAAGACTCCAACGTTCATATAACTTTTGGCTTTCAATAAGCTGGTGAGCAGGGACATTTTTACTGACTGTTCCAAATTATAAAACTCAGTATTAGGTAGGCTTGTTGCTTCACTTGTCACTTGTTATCAAACTCGCTGGTGCCATTTTGAATACTAACCCTAAAAATAGGATGACAACACAGCATGGTTTTCACTGAGCGCCCTTTACTGCAGTCTCCCCATGCAGGTACCAGAGCGTACATAAAGGAGCTGTGAGTCAGAGGAGCAGCCTCTTCAAGTGCAGAAAGCTCTCATATCACCTTTTATATGCACGTCATGTTGCACTACAAACATAACTGCTTTGAGTGGGTTAACCTTGGCATTTGTGAAAGACATGCGCACAAAGGTTACCCCTCCACCACTGAGGTGTGCATCTTAAAAATGCTATGTAGCTGGGTGCCATATGTGACGGCTCGAGATCAATTTGGTCATTTTTTTCGACATGTGTTAGAAAAGGGCATCCTATGGAGCAGTGCACACATCAGCCCTTATTCTAAATCATGATAATTAGGGAGCATTGGTCAAACACAAGTGAGAATAGCCTCAAAGCAGATGCCCTCAAACCCCATTAACTGCCAGATAATGAACCAAAACATTCCATTAAGTGGACAAACAAGGCATTATGCTAAGTTCAATGGCCCAGGCAGACATTAACAGCTTGCCTTACTTGCAAATCCTTTAGTCTGGTTTTATCTTTGTGGGTAAAATGAGGGTGTTGGCTTTTATAAAGTGATTCCAACTTGCTCAATTAATGTTTGATCTAGGAAAGGGACACCCATAAAAAATAAGCTTTACATTATCTGTCTATCTTCATTGCGCTGCTTTTATCTCATAATTCATGTTGGCAAATTGTGCATGCAGTTATCAGGAGAGTCATTGATGACATCAGTGATTCATTACAAGTAATCATGCATGAAGGACCAGCTGAGAAGAGTTGCCAGATCGTCTCAACTGTCGTGGTAACTGGTGGAAATTTTCCTCTTAACAGAATATAAAACATGAATTCACTGAGAGCAACTGTCTTTCTGAGTTTTATTCTGTTAAGAGGAAGATTTACACCACAACTTGACTTTTTGTCGGCAGCATCCCAAGAGAACTACAACTGGTAGTTGCTTTACTCTTGCCTTGCCATGTCTAGATTTGGATCATAAAGACACTGTGTACATTTTCTGCAATTTGCCCATTCGTTTTGAGATCATCAGACTATGTGGTGTTTGTTAAACCCCACAGCACTGAGAAGATGTGTTTAAGGACACCTACTCGGGGGGAAAATATCTGTCTTTATCTGAACTTCATTAAGTAGCTCTCGCTCTTCAACAGACCGGCTGGGTGGGAGGGCCGCATTTGCAAATGTGGATCTTATTTATTGCAATAAAACTCCAAACGGCAGATGCTCTCTTTAAATTCATGTTTTAATTATATTAAGAGGAAAATTTGCACCATAGTAACTAAAGTAAAAAGAAAAGAATCCAATAAAGAAGTCACGCTAATACCGGTATGCAAAAAAATCTCTTTAATATGAGGTATTCATTGCATGTTTGTTGCTCACATGAACCTCTCGAACAAAGAGTTGATATAACACGGATGCATGCACAGACAGCATGAATGTAAAATACTGTACTTTCTCCCAGCACTTAGAAACTGATCAAACCAACAAACAGCATCCAGTTCAATGATGTACATATAGAAAAACACCTCCGAAGGAAAAAACTGCTTATTCTGTCTTGTCAGTTAGTGGTAAATAATTTATATGAAACACTTAATTAGACTTCAAGGGGGAAAAAAAGGTAATTTACAAAGGTAATACTGTTTATCCATTGAGTATAATATGGCTTACAAATACCATAAAACACAATAAAATTCTTGTTTCCAAAAGTTTAAAAGGCTCCGCAGCTTAAACACCTAAAAAGGATAAAGGCACAAGTGTAACAATGTTTTTTTTAAATCCAACAAAGCATAAGACTCACTTGATGAATTAATACTTATCTGCAATACCTGCCTGCTGTGTTGTGGTGTGACTGATGATGCCAGTTATTTAACAAAAAAGAACAGCTGAGAGGATGTAAAGCGTCAAAACTGTGATAAAAATGTGTGTTTGTACAGTAAAACAGCATTTTTAATACCTTTATGTCTCCTTGTACCTTAAGACAAACTATAACTCTAGTCAAATGTTATTTGCGCTCTTGCGTGTAGCTGCTAGATTTTTGAGGATTCAAGTTGTGTTTCATAAAACTCAATGAATGAGAGAGGTTGGTATGGATTGATAAGATCAAGTTATTGCACCCTGATCCATGACAGACTTTGGCACAGTCTCCTCAAAAGATGATAGTCAAAAGGTGATGGGAGAGGACAATGAGACAAGAGGTTGCTGGAACATGTGTAATTAGGGACAGAGGTAGGAATACGATGGTAGACAGAGAGGACAATGGGAAGTGACGGAAACAAAGAAGAAAAGTCGTGTTCAGAACTCCGTGTGTAGGTGACTGTAGTCTCGGCTGCCTGCCAGGTTCTCGCTGGGCTTCATAAAGATGCCCTCCATGGCCTTCCACAGGCTGTGCTGGCTGGGGGTCGACATGGCGTGAACTTCCCTCTGACCGTGTATCGGCCGTCCGTACTGCTCCCCTGTCACTGACAGTAGTGCATCAGTGGACTTGTGACGGAAGCGGACGGCCTCCTCGCGCTTCCATACGGATCCCCCACACTGAACCGTCCACTCGTCCAGGTGGTCCCCTTCCCCTTCGTCGCCAAATGCACTCACTTCCTGTGGACAAGAGAGAAAGAGATTAGAAGAAATAGAGGAGAGGATGGTGCACCTTGCTTTTGTGACATTTTACAGTCTCTTAACTTTCCAGACAAAACTTGTTTTTATTTCAATTTTCAGCTATCAGAAGACTTCCATTTTTGTACAATAGGAACAGCTTTCACAGATGCCAATATTTACCAAGCTAGATATCCAAACACAGTAAACATAAAGACATGTTTGGTTTTGTCTCTGGCTTCTTGTTTCTTCCCCAAACGTACAGTTACATCCACCCTTTAGTCTCCAGTGAAGGGTGTACTAATACTACTGATACTAATGTATAGTGGATGAGGGAGGCCAGACAGCCTACGTTGTATACGTCGTGTGTATGTGGATGAAATCTTCTGTTGTGGAATGTGAAAAACGTCATTTGGTACATGTTCTGGAAACCAGGTTGAGAAACTGCTTACAAATAAAACAACCAGACAAGAATGTCTATTTTCTTCCCATACCCATCTGTAAAGGAACTCCATCACATTGATGCAACAATCCTGAAAATCCCAAAGTGACATAAAGGCGACCTGTTTATTGATTTACAACATATTAGACGGATAGCTCTTAGTCACCAGTCGGGCTCAGATCAGCCGCACAAGCTGGATGTTAAGAGAATAACTACCATGGTGTAAACAGTATACAAAAATGTCTGACAGTTGACAGATTTTCTATAATCGCATGGTACACCTCTTCCAACCCTGTTACACTTGAACGACAGTGTTTTCACACTTCCTCAGCATTGGAGAGGGTTTTTGTTGACCCGAGGCTGTTTTCCCAGAGAGTCTGGTGAATTTCCTGAAGTGTAAAAAGCTGCTGTCAACTCAGTTCCCCTTCAAAATGTTGGTCTTCACTAAATGTGAGCATCAACATCTTGTTATTTTACATAGATTACTGCATATCAGTAATGTCCAACTTTTTGAATTATGCTGGAAATGTCAAACTATCTTTAAGACATTAACATAACTTCCCAATCTCTACAGGCGTCTATGTGGATGATGCTTCACAGAACATGACACCTCTTCTCTCTCCCTTGTACTCCTCACACCACCCACCTGGTTAGAGGACAGCGGGGAGGCGAAGTAGTGGCTGTGCAGGTTACGGCCTGTGTTGACATGGGTGAGACGGATATTCTGCCCGCATTTGACCGGGGTGCCACGATGGCACATGGTGTCCCTTGTCCCACGGACACTCCAGTAGCTGTTACTGTCTTCCACTGTAGTCACCCCTGTTACAGACTGCTGACCGCTACCTGCCTCACACACACACACACACACACACACACTCACACATAAGTTCACGCAGTGAGCAGAAGACCAAACTAGGATTTTGACACAAAAAAAAAATATATATATAAATATAGGGTAATTAAGGAAGCTTTTTCATGGTATGAAGGTCTGTAAAGTCACAGTTGAATTGGTGATTGTTGTTTTGGGTTTGACTTTGAACCCAAGGGCTCATGTTGGTAAACAGATCGTGGTTAACTTTGAGGGCTACAACATTTCTATATTTGCTGAAAGTTTGGACTTTTTATGATTTTGAGGTGCTGCTTAAAATAAAAAGAGAATGTTTTTTTTAGGGAAAATCCAAACGTTAATCTTGTTCATATATACTGACTTCATGTTCATCACTTCAGTAAATATTTGCTTTTTAAATATCCCCGAAAAGAGGCTATGTCACCAATATTTAATGTGTACCACTCTTTGACAGTCTGGTTACACATAATGGTGACAGCCTTCATTATATGTCAAACACTGTTAACCTTTGTACATAGAAATCAGTCATTACAATTACAGAGGTGGGCAACGGTGAATTAAGTTAATGTATATGAAAAACACAAATTATGTTTATTAATGCGTAATAATCGTTTTCTGAGAGGAAACTCACCGGAGCCGTAGCGTACGTCGTGCGAGTGTAGTCTCACATTGTGCTTTGTATTTAACAGTTTAAGGACGGATCCGCATGTCACAAAACCCAGTTCCGTACCAAGTGACAGTCCAAATATACAGGTTAGCAATAATAAAAGGGTTGGTAGAGAGTGTGGAAGACCAGCATATTCTAAATAACCCATTCCTATTAAATCCAAATACAGCCGCCGATGACTGTTAAAGATATGTATTATTTTTCGCAACGTCATTAAAGAGGTACTGTATGCCAAGGGGGAGCTCGTGAAACAGCGCCCCCTTGTGACTCGGAGTGCTCATTGCATAGACCTCTCGAGGTGTTTCAGTTTATTTGGGGGTTTATTTGGCGTCATTGTGATATGTTTTTATGTGTATGATAATGTGATCAATATCCCCATTAAATACTAATAATGGTTAGGTTGTGTAGTCTTATTTAGTTGTTTTATTTTGTGTAGAATCAAGGTGAACCAGCAGGGGGCGTCACATTTCTACTGAGAAGGATGGAAGCGTCCTGGAATTGCCATCACGCCGCTCGTTGTCGGCCATTTTTACAAGTACAAGCTCCCCGAAACACTAAACACAACACAACCCCGTTATTTTTGTAAACATTAACGGAGTATACCACTGCAGTGAGACGCGTAAGTCCAGTTGTTCCGTGATACTTTGCGACCTTATCACTGTGCCGCTCAGCTAACCGCCGTTAACTGGTCAACGAGTATGCAGTTGGCTGTTGTTGTCGTTCTAGCTAATGCTAGGCTAACACACTGATGTGCTAAACGTTAGACTGCGAAGTTGGCTCAGAGGCCTTGGTCTATTTCTACAAACAGTGAAATAGGTTTGGTTGTTATTTCATTGTCAGTCGATGTATTGCTACGTACAATATATATTTCAAACCAACAACGTGAGAATGACGTTAAATGACAGCTATCGTTACTTGGTAAGAGATTGCTCGCTAGCTAACTAGCATGCTAGCATAGGTCGTAGCTCACGTTAGTTGGTGGTTGCTAGCTCACAGGTAACTTACAGTAAAGTAAGCTAACTTTGTTGACTAGAACTCCCAATATAACGTTAGCGTGACAGTTTGTTGACCGAAACGCTGAGTTATCATCTCGATAACGTTAGCTACTGTTACATTTAACGTTAAAGCAAGGCGCTAATGCGTTTGAGTGATCGACTGCGTCTGTGTTGTGTGTGCGCAATGCGACAACGTTAGGTGTCACGTTATTTTTTTATTTTATTCTTTAAACGCCAGCTAAATCTAGTTTTGTTGCACGCTATATCGCTGAGTTAGAATAAAATCAATGGTCAGTTTAAATGCAAATAAAATAATACAATTGTTCAAACATACAACACTTTATTTTGATATTCTGGAGGAGATCTTAAGCCTTAGAAAGATACCTAAATGTCTCCATTTGGTGGAGTGGTGCAACCATAACAAACTTACATTTCAATATTTCACTCAATCTTGTCATTTAATGTCAACGAAGAGCTCGAACAAGCTGATGAAGAACATATATGTTATTCTCCCAGACAGTGTGAAATAAAATTATTTTTTCCAATCTTGAAGCAGGAATGAATGAAAATTGGATGTTATGCAGTGATATTGCAAAGACATCATAACACTAGAGCATAATGCATGTGTGTTTGGCTTTTTGACTAATGCTTTGATGGTGTTGGGAATGTTTACTGACAGCCTCTTGCACTTCTTAATAAAGTAACTATCTATCTATCTTCTTCTTAGGAACAGCAGTCATGTCCGACTTTATTGAGAGCGAGGCCGAGGAGTCAGAGGAGGAGTTTGATGAGAAAGACCTCAAGCCTAAAAAGACCCAGAGGTTTCTGGAGGAAGATGGTACGATTTGAATTGTTCAGTTCTGGATATGTGTTTCAAAGGTGGGGATGCATGACGTGTGAAACCATTTATCTCTTAATTTCTCAACAGATGAAGAGGAAGAAGAGAACACAGAGGACCAGGATGAGCGAGGAAATTTACGCGGACTCATTGATGATGGAGAAGAGGAAGAGGGGGAGGAAGAGCGTCCAAAAACTGCAAGTGCAGCGGGGAGTGACTCAGAAGAGGAAGTCAGGCATCGCCGTAAAAAGCGCAGTAAGTGCATCATATGTTATAAAGTATAATAAAATATGTTTTCTTAAAATATCTTTATCCGGGTTAGGGTTAGTGACCGTAGTACACAAACTTAACTCGGAACAGATCAGGTCCTTATCGTGTACCTTGTCTTGAAGAAATAATACAATTGACCTCATATTAGTGTTTTTCCAAATATCTTAGTCAGCAGTTATTTACCAATATAAAACAGAATTGATTGGTGCCAATTCAAGATGAATCGCCATTCTGTAATACTCCAATAACATTTAATTGTTCTTTAAATAAGTTCTCTGGTGCATTAACCGCAACAGGTGGTATTTGATGTTAGTTCTCTGCTGGTGTGGTGTATAATCTACTTTAATATTTTCATTATCGAACAAAGTGTAAGTGTGTTTTCAGGCAAATTTACCTGCATTTAACTCTGTAAACAGATAATTGCTGGCAGCATCTATTAAGACAGAAAATATGAATTTTGAATCATCGTCGTACAAAGGTGCCATATATTTATAATATAGGTTTTTGTCTGAATAGATTCTTTTCCCATCCCTATACCGTATTCACGTGTATCACACACAAGAACAAGAGCACTGTCTTTACAGTCGTAGCAGTTGTTTCCTCTGACTGAGACTTTTCCTCTTTGCAGATTATGACGACTACCTTGATGACGATGATCTGGACCTAATTGAGGAAAACTTGGGTGTAAAAGTGAAAAGGAGGGTAAGAATGGCTTCTCATTACTACTATCTCGGTAATAAGTGTGTACAAACATTTTCGTACTCTTGAAAAAGCTTATTCTGGCAGTACTGATGTTGTACCTGTCTTGTGTCGCAGAAAAAGAAATATGAACGTGTAAAAACACTTGATGATGACGAAGAGGATGACGACCAGAAGGACATGATCGCAGATGAGATCTTTCATGGAGATGATCAGGGAGAGCTGGAGGAAGGCGAGGCTGTCGATGAGCCTCTTCACCACGCAGATGACGAAGAAGAAGGAGAGGACGAGGAGTCAGGTAGGCCAGGAATAAAGGTGGTTCGATCTGTGTGGACCCGAGTATCTAAAAAGCTGCGTGATAATAGAGAAAAAGACTAATGTAAACTCAGTCCCACGCTTGATTTCTAAATAACGTGGTATATAATTGGTTTGTTTTAAATGTTTTTCCTTTGTCTTACAGATATAGACGATTTTATTGTTGATGATGATGGCCAACCCATCACCAGAAAGAGGGGCAAAAAATTCTCAGGATACACGGACGCGTGAGTATAGTTTATTCAGCAAATCTATCCAATATAAGATCCATCATTGGTAGGACAAGAAGCGTGCTAATACATATTTATATTTGGTAACAATGAGACAACAAAATGGCAAACTGCTTTAAGATATGAGTGAAGTGAACCAGTCAATCACTGCTTCTCTCCTCTTCGCTGTTCATCCTCCCACAGAGCCCTCCAGGAGGCCCAAGAAATCTTTGGCGGAGACTTTGACTTTGCTGACTTTGACGCAGACGCATACGACCAGGGGGAGGAGGAGGAAGAGGACCAGGATGAAGAGAGTTGGGATCGACCCAAGAAGCAGACGAAGAGGAGGCAGGGGAGGAAGAGCATCTTTGAGATCTACGAGCCCAGTGAGCTGGAAAGTAGTCACATGACTGACCAAGACAATGAGATCCGCTCGACAGATATGCCCGAAAGGTTCCAGGTGTGTGTGTGTCAGTGTTTTTGATGCTAACAGTGTTGTCACTGTTGTTACGTTCTTATACGGACCATATAAATAAAGCTATTATTATATAGGTTCTTAATGACTGCTTTCTCAGGTTTATGTGTAGTTAAGCCGTGACATCTCATTTAGTCACTGATCAAATTTGAGTGCCTACTTTCCTGATCTGTGCTCTGTTTTATAGTTACGATCCATCCCTGTTAAACCTGCTGAGGATGACGAGCTGGAAGAGGAAGCAGAGTGGATCTTCAGACATGGCTTCTCCACTCTTACTATCTCCATGCAGGTACGTCCTTTGACACACACACACTCAGGAATGCATCCATGCGATATGCAGTCATGATACCTGGTTAGATTCTCCTTTCTGTGGGATAGATCATTGGATTCTCTTTAGCTCTAGATCACATCTAGATGCTTTCTTCTTTTTTCTGTGCCCTAACCAGGAGAGCACAGATTATTTAGACAGAGGGACGACCACGAACTTCAGCCGGAAAGGCCCCAGCACGATTGCTAAGATCAAAGAGGCCCTCAACTTCATGAGGAATCAACAATTTGAGGTACAGTGAGCTCACCGTACCCATGTAATACATTTCCTTCATCTGTTTCCTTTGAGTTACATTTTTTCTAAAAAAAACTATAACATTATGTCTTTTAAGAAAGGATGCATTATCGCAAAGAACCAATTTCATCGTGTTCTTTTCCCCAGGTCCCATTCATCGCTTTCTACAGGAAAGAATATGTGGAGCCTGAGCTAAACATCAATGACCTGTGGAAGGTGTGGCAGTGGGATGAAAAGGTAGACTTGGTATTGCAATAGATTACAGACTGAACGGAAAGCCGTTGTATGATCCTCTGGGTGCACAGCCAATCTTACAATAATCAATTCTAAGATGAATTAAACATTGTTTTAAATCATTATCAATCATTTGTTTTCACCATCTTGGCGTTTTGTATGCCACTTCTGGTTTCTTGACTTCAACATTGTCACCCACCAGTGGACTCAACTGAAGTCCCGCAAGCAGAACCTGACCCGTCTGTTTCGGAAGATGCAGTCCTACCAGTTTGAGCAGATCTCAGCCGACCCCGACAAACCTTTGGCTGACGGCGTCCGTCCTCTGGACACCGCTGACACAGAGAGGTACGTCTCAAGGGCCGAGGCTTGAAAAGATAATCTCTTATTATGTGTTGTGTGCTGTATTTGGTTGTGACTGCACGAAGCCAGGAATAATTGCAGGAGATGAAAGTGATAAAGTTCACATGGTGGTCGACGATAAACACAGTTTTCTGTCCCTTTCAAACCTATTTTATCATTTTCTTATAGGCTAAAAGATGTGCAGACTCTTGAAGAGCTGGGTGATGTGTACAACCACTTCCTGCTCTACTACGGCCGAGACATCCCCAAGATGCAGAACACTGCCAAGTCCAGCAAGAAGAGGCTCAAGAAGATCAAAGAAGTGTCCGAGGATGGTAAGATGAACGCGTCTGAATTGAACATTTCATTAGATGATGGACAGATTCTGCAGAATTATTCAGTTCTAATTGAAACATATTTTTCAGTTAGGAGTTGAGCCTCAGTGTAACAATTTGCTCCATGACCGATTTTGCGTGTTGCCTCTTTAGGTGAAGAAGAGGAATTGGAGGTAGAAGAAGAAGAAGAACAACAGAAAGGACCTGACCTCAAGCTGGCGTCTCGTAGAGATATGTACACCATCTGTCAGAGCGTGGGACTTGGTTGGTCTTCTTTTTTTACCTTGCACACAACAGTCCCAGTCTTCAAGTATCACTATATTCATTTGTATTTTGTTTTTTTTCCTAGCTTGGTAGCACTTCAACTTCTCTCTCTGTTTCTTCCTTCCTGCAGATGGCTTGGCTAAAAAGTTTGGCTTAACTCCAGAGCAGTTTGGAGAAAATTTGAGAGACAGTTACCAGCGTCACGAGACCGAGCAGTTCCCGGCCGAGCCTGTGGAGCTGGCCAAAGATTATGTTTGCAGTCAGTTCAGCACTCCCGAGGCAGTGCTGGAAGGAACCAGGTACATGGTGGCCATGCAGCTTGCTCGTGAACCGCTGGTCAGACATGTTCTCCGACAGACCTTTCAGGAGAGGGCCAAGATCAACATCAAGCCTACGAAGAAGGGCAAAAAGGTACGGATACATTTATTCAGAGACATTTAACAACAAAAAAATAAACAGAAAAGGGTTAATCTAAATCTGCTTTGCCATTTGCTTCCCTCCTGTAGGAGGTAGACGAGGCTCATTTTGCCTACTCCTTCAAGTATCTTAAGAACAAGGCTGTAAAAGAGCTGAATGGGGATCAGTTCTTGAAGATGTGCCTGGCAGAGGAGGAGGGACTGCTTTCCATTGACATTTGTATAGACCTTATAGGGGTCAAAGGGTAAGCACAGTGACAACACTGACACAAACGAAAATGGCGAAAGATCAATGTTGAATAATTCATGATTTTGGCCACTTACATTAAGTCAGATTGAATCAACCAGATGGAGGAAATCATAAATATACAAACATCCCGAGGTCTTATAATTCTTGTCACCTCTGTTGTTCGTACACATGCATTGGTCATAGGACATTTATTAAGCACAGGACCTGATGTGTTGTGCCATTTTTAGCATCTGTATAGCTTTATACTACAGAGCTACAGAGTTTAATTTGTTTTTAAGCTGCAGCTTACATTTTTTTTTAATCCACATCCTTGTCAGTGGAACGTGCCGCTTTTGAATTATGACCGTGGAAATGTTAAGGCTCTCCTTTCTGTCTCCGCTTCTCTCCTGTGTCTTCCCTCAGGTATGCTGGAGACCAGACGTACTTTGATGAGATCAAGCAGTTCTACTACAGGGATGAGTTCAGTCACCAGGTGCAGGAGTGGAACAGGCAGCGAACTTTAGCAATAGAGAGAGCTCTCACTCAGTTCCTCTACCCTCAGATGGCCAAGGAGCTCAAGAGCAAACTGATCACTGAGGCCAAAGAGAGCATTGTCAGGGTAAGTTCCCATGATATCTGTCGCCATACATTGTAATATTACATTATTGAAGTAGTGTTACGCAGAGAAAAATAACACGGTAAACTCATTGTGAACATTTTGCTGTTCATTTCTCCTCACAGTCCTGCTGTCGTCGGTTGTATAACTGGCTCAAGGTGTCTCCTTACCGGCCAGATCAGCAGGTTGAGGAAGACGATGATCTGATGGACGAGAGTCAGGGCAAAGGCATACGCGTGCTGGGTGTAGCCTATGCGCCCAGCAGGTATACACCCCACACAATTTTTTTTTTCTCATATATATTAGTAGCTACAATTTTTTGGTATTAACAATAGAGATCTCACTTTAAAATGTGGGAGAAATACTGCACGTTCTTACAACCGTGTAAGACCAAGAAAAGTTTAGTGCATAAAAGACACACTTATGTGGCAAATAGTTCAGGTTCTTACTTGTGAACTTTACTTTGCTGAAGCAGAGATACACCGGTGTTCTGTGCTCTGATCAATGGCGAAGGGGAGGTGGTCGACTTCTTGCGTCTGCCCTACTTCATGAAGAGGAGGAACGCCTTTAGGGAGGATGACCGAGAGAAGAAGGTACATGCAGAGGACACAAACGTGCTTCTCTGCAGTCAACAGATGCTTTTGTTTGGGTGGATGGATCTTTTGAGATGATCGCTCATTTGTGTGTGTGTGTGTGTGTTATCTTCAGGCCCACGACATCGAAAGTCTCAAGAAGTTTCTGTCTGGCAAGAAGCCTCATGTGGTAGCTGTCGCTGGGGAAAGCCGGTAAATACTTGATTTCATCTGGACATTTTGAACAGCATTTACAAGTCATAAAGGAGATGGTAAAATAATGTTGTGTGTGCAGAGATGCTCAAATGATCATGGAGGACATCAAGAGGACTATCAGCGAGCTTGAGCAAGAGTCCTCTCTGCCTGCTGTTGGTGTGGAACTTGTTGACAATGAGTTGGCCACACTGTACATGAACAGCAAGAGATCTGAGGTAAATGCTTAACACCTCACCGTGCTATCTTCATCATACACAAGCACAGGAACATCAGTGGTTTTGCTCTTTGACTATGGCAGGTAACCACAGCAATTTAATTAACTGGTGTATCCCAGATATGGCTCAATGCTCCCTCTGCTGCTCATTTATTCCTGACCCTCTGCTTTCTATCTGCGCAGACGGATTTTAGGGATTACCCTCCCTTACTGCGACAGGCTGTGTCGATAGCCAGGAAGATCCAGGATCCGCTGATGGAGTATGCTCAGGTTTGCAGCAGTGATGATGACATTCTCTGCCTGAAACTCCACCCGCTACAGGTGAGACATTGAAGAAAGTTCTTTTATCTCCATCTATTGCTGTATATTGTTGAAACATAGTTTGTTTAAAAATGATCAACGCCAGTTTTACAATGTTTCCTGTGACATTTGCTTTTTTGACATTGTTTATCCACCTTTTATTCTCCTGTAGCGTCACACAGGCCATCACATATCCGTCAGGAACAAGCATTAAATATTCTTCTCAGCCTAGTCCGATGCATAATATATCAACCAATCAGTTGACCAGTATTTAGATAATAATGTGACGTTCTGCTCCTCCAACCTCACTAATGGCTTTTAAAATTAGACGCTTGCAGATATAAAATTAAGCGTGATTCTGTTGCTACAATTGTGTGAAAGAGAGTTTTTGTCTTTCTCAGGAACATGTGGTGAAGGAAGATCTGCTCTGCGCTCTTTACTGTGAGTTCATCAACCGTGTTAATGAGGTCGGAGTGGATGTGAACAAGGCCATCGCCCATCCTCACACTCAGAGCCTAGTCCAGTATGTCTGTGGTCTGGGACCAAGAAAGGGCTCCCAGCTGCTCAAGGTATGTTTTTATTCATTCATTTATTGTGTCACATACTAAAATATTGAGCCCTTTCTGCTGAACTGATGATCACCATGGTCCTTGTATTTGGTGCAGATTCTGAAGCAAAACAACACTCGACTTGAAAACAGAACTCAGCTGGTCACAATGTGTCACATGGGACCCAAAGTTTTTATCAACTGCGCTGGTTTCATCAAGATCGACACAGCATCGCTTGGGGACAGGTTGGTACCTTGTATGGGGGTCTGTTACACGTTCAGACTATTTCCCGTAGTATCTAATACTGCTGTTGTGATCGACCATTCAGCCTTTTAAATCAGCATTTCTTTCTTCCACACAGTACCGACTCCTACATTGAGGTTCTGGATGGATCTCGTGTCCACCCTGAGACGTACGAGTGGGCTCGCAAGATGGCTGTGGACGCCCTCGAGTATGATGAGTCGGCAGAAGATGCCAACCCGGCTGGAGCTCTGGAAGAGATTTTGGAAAACCCAGAACGTCTCAAAGATCTGGACCTGGATGCCTTTGCTGAAGAGCTTGAGAGACAGGTGTGTGTGTGTGTGTGTGTGTGTGTGTGTGTGTGTGTGTGTGTGTGTGTTGTGGCTTTGACCGCAGCAATGTCTGGCATTCATGAACAGCAAACCAGGCTCCTTCCAGCTGTGCACTTTAAACGCCGTCCGACAAAAGTGTGTCACACCCACTCACCTCTCACAAAGTTTTCACACCTGTATTCTTCTTTGCTTGGTTCCATGTAGGGTTACGGCAACAAGGGGATTACTCTGTATGATATCCGTGCAGAGCTGAGCTGCAGATACAAAGACCTGAGAGTTGCCTACAGAGTCCCCAACACTGAGGAGGTCTTCAACCTGCTCACCAAGGAGACTCCGGAGACCTTTTATATTGGTAATATACACCACACTGAAGTAAACATATTTATCTCTTGAATTTTCACCCAAAAAATCAATAATATATTCTTACAATAGACTGTTGTAAGAAGTCTAAGACGATGGCGCAGAATGATGTTGCTGGAGCACCAGTCACAGTACAGATGCAGCTCTGTCGGCCGGTGTGGTTGATGTGTTTTCCTCCTTTTCTTCCAGGTAAGCTGATCACCAGTATAGTAACTGGTATTGCTCACCGGCGGCCTCAGGGAGAGAGCTACGACCAGGCCATCCGTAATGATTCTACAGGGCTGTGGCAGTGTCCCTTCTGCCAGCAGGACAACTTCCCTGAACTCAGCGAGGTACTGCACACCCGAGTGTTCTTCTTTTGAGGACTTAGTGGTACAAAACAGCTGAGAGTCTGACATCTAAACTCTCTTGTGTCCCTGCTTTAGGTGTGGAATCACTTTGACAGCGGTTCATGTCCAGGCCAGGCCATCGGGGTGCGGTCCAGATTAGATAATGGCGTCCAGGGATTCATTCCCACCAAGTTCCTCAGTGACAAAGTGGTCAAACACCCCGAGGAGAGGGTCAAGGTGAGGCGTTGTTTGTTTTTGTGATATTTGTTGTGCTTTGCTGATGTTTTTCTTTTACTTTTATCAATGTCACCTGTAAACATTTGAATGTCTGAGAGTTTGCAGTTGGTGCCAGTTAAACATCCCAATCCTGACATTATCTGTGATTAATTGTTGTCTTATTTCTGCGCTTCCTGTCTTGTTTCTGTCTATTGTGTCACCTGTGTAACACTAGCTTGTTCGTCTTCCTTAAGGTGGGCATGACGGTTCACTGTCGCATCATGAAAATCGACATTGAAAAGTTCAGCGTCGACCTCACGTGCCGCACCTCCGATTTGATGGACAAGGCCAACGAGTGGAAGCTCCCCAAAGACAGCTACTATGACTTTGACACAGAGACCGAGGACCAAAAACAGGAGGAGGAGCTCAAAAAGAAACAACAGCGAACACGTTAGTATAATAACAGCATTAAGGAGAATGCAGATCTACTGAGAATACTCTGTTTGCTGCAGCAGAATGCAAGATTAGCTGTGGACAGACACAGGCGCGCACACAAGCGATTGCACGGCCCTCCTGGCAGAGATAACAATGATAAAAGTTGTTTGAATAGAAATAACTAATAGAACAGTGCGCTTTGGGTATTGTTTCCTCATAATACACTTTGGTTAACACTTCCCTCCACATCACTGTCCTTATACTGTTTGTTTGCTTTCTGTCTTTTCAGCATACATAAAGCGTGTGATTGCCCACCCCAACTTCCACAATATTAGTTTCAACCAGGCAGAGAAGATGATGGAGGCCCTGGACCAGGGAGACTTGATCATCAGACCCAGCAGCAAGGGAGAGAACCACCTCACAGTCACCTGGAAAGTAAGAAACCGATAGAGAGGTACTTATTAACGTGGCAGTCGCTCAACATATCCCAGTCTAACTGTGTGACGTTTTGAAGGTGGCGGATGGCATCTACCAGCATGTGGATGTGAGAGAAGAAGGCAAAGAGAACGCGTTCAGCTTGGGCCACACTCTCTGGATCAACAGTGAAGTACGCTGCCTTCCTCTTTGTTTAGCCTGAAGATGTGTTGTGACACATCAGTGCTGTTTTGGCTGCTCCATGTTCCTCAAGAGTCTGTTGCGTTCTCTGCAGGAGTTTGAAGATCTGGATGAAATCACTGCTCGGTATATTCAGCCTATGGCGTCATTTGCCAGGGATCTACTGGGGCATAAGTACTTCCAGGACGGCCTCTGGGGGATCAAGGAGGTATACTTGTTTACTCTGATATCATTACTCGTTACTCTTACATAACTCGACAACTCGTCTCATTCTACTACTTGTTTTTTGCCACGAGTTGCACCCCTCTCATATCTCGTTTTGTCTTGTTCTCTCTCTAATAGAAAATGGAGGAGCTGTTGGTCAAGACAAAGCGGGAGAAGCCTACTTTTATTCCTTACTTTCTTTCGGCGTGTAAAGAGATGCCCGGAAAATTCATACTGGGCTACCAGCCTCGCGGAAAACCACGGTGAGCAGGAATGTTTTTTGACTCTTCTGTTTTCTGATTATTCGCTGTCATGATGCCATGAATTGAAAATGTTGAATGAACAAGTTGGACTGATTTCAGTGGAGGCTGATATAAAAGATAATTGTTGAATAGCTTATCACCGAGCTAACGTTCCCTCGGATGCATTGACACAAAATGTCTTTTTCATTTTTTTAATTAAAAAAAGGGATGTGGGAGAATACACAAAATTATGATTCATAATGGCGGCAGTGATGGGTGAGGGTAAGCAGAATATATATTATGTAATTATACACCCCGTTTTTTTCCTTTATTGTCATGTTTTGTTCATTATTTATACGGGATGGAGGTCCTCTGAATATTTTTAACAATCCGAAATGGGCCTTAAGCTACAAAAGGTTGATAATCGCTGCTCTAAATATCACAGTCATATATGCACACATGCGCAGGTCCACAGCGACTTCAGATGTCATTCATGTTGTGCCAAATTACTAAACACCACATCCTTCTTATCCACTCTACCGCACAGCTGTTTATCTGCCCAGACATTTTTTTACTTAATTTATTGACACAGTGTTTAAATACAAGTAGAACTGAATTTCAACATGTCATCTTCTTTCTTTATCTAGGGTCGAGTATTTGACTATCACCCCGGATGGCTTCCGCTATCGTTCACAGATATTTCCCACAGTGAATGGACTATTCCGTTGGTTTAAGGACCATTACCAAGAGCCTGTGCCGGGTATGGAAGCACTGTACCTAATGTTAATTGTAGTGTATATTACGCCAGTCGAAGGATGTTGTAGGTTATGAACGTTCTCCCTTCCGTCAAAGGTATCACTCCCAGCAACAGCAGCCGAACAAGGACACCCGCATCCCTGAACGCCACGCCAGCCAATATCAACATCGCAGGTGAGTCCCACTCTCTTCCGTACACACACAATCTACATTTGAGTGTAGTTGTAGTACATTTTACTATTTCTGAATGTATTCCTTCCTCCCCAGACTTGACGCGAGCTGTCAACGCCCTCCCACGCAACATGACCTCCCAGATGTTCAGTGCCATCGCCGCAGTCACAGGCCAGGGCCAGAACCCCAACACCACCCCCGCACAGTGGGGCTCCAGCCAGTACGGCTACGGTGGCAGCACGGGAGGAGGAGGAGGAGGAGGAGGAGGAGGAGGAGGGAGCTCCTCTGCTTATCATGTGAGTGCAGGTGCATGTAATGACTTTTCACTGGTAACTCCTTGAGCCACATTCATCACCAGTACTTCCTCCTCTGCAGGTATTTGCCACACCCCAGCAGCCCATGACGACGCCCTTGATGACACCCAGCTACTCTTACACTACACCGAGCCAGCAGGCCCTGGGTACGCCGCAGTACACCAGCACCACTCCGCAGTCCTCGCACTCTCACACACAAGGCCATCCCCAAGGAAGCCATGTGTCACACCACAGCCATCACGGCCACAGCAGTCACAACAGCCACTCATCCGGCACGCCGTCGTCCTCTACCTCATCCAGAGGAAGGACGCCGCAGCAGCAGCAGCAGCCGCCGCAGCCGCCGCAGCCGCCAAAGTAAGTACAACGGGAATATGTGTGGGCGACCTGAAAAGGCATTCTGGTTCTTTGGTAGTGAAACTGATTATTCATGTTCTCATTCATGTATTCATGTACAGTGATCCTTGTAATCACCCCAGCTATAAGAAATGTAAGACTCAACAACTCAAATCCAACCAGTTGTTGAACGATATGGATGAGTGTTTGTTTTGCTGCCATTAGATGGTGCTAAACCCACAATCTGCATCATTTAAGGCCAAGCAGCAGCAGCAGCAGCCAGCCATTCAGTCTGTCACTGTCTTTGACTAAAATACCTCCCCCGTCTGTCCTCCCTCCTTGCAGGGCCGGCGGCAGCAACGCCTCTGCAGTGGACTGGGGCAAGATGGCGGAGCAGTGGCTGAAGGAAAAAGAGGCGGAGGGGCGGAAGAAAACCCAGAGGATGACGCCACGACCGTCGCCCAGCCCAATGATAGAGAGCACACCCATGTCCATCGCCGGAGACGCCACGCCCCTACTGGACGAGATGGACCGATAGGACATGGAGGGGGGAGTCGCTACACCCCCCGCCCCCCAACTCAACTCCATCCTTCGTGCCACTTCTTCGTCTGGATAACCCTCCACTTTTATTGTCTCTCTCCCACAGCCCATGAGCCCCTGACTGTCCATTCATACTCGCCCGCTGATATTGTAGCTGCAGTTTATCTGTCTGGTATCATGGCTCCTCTCCTTCCTTCCTCTTGTCTTCCTGTATCCCTCCCCAGACAGATTCACCTCCTGAAATGCAGCCAACCCCTCTGGCTGCACAGTATTCTGTACAGTCAGATTAACACGTTATGTGTCATGCAGAAAGTAATTTCAATGGGAAAAAAAAGAAACTTGAATATCAGACAGCAGTTTAATATAGGATATGGACCTAAAACAGACAATGTCAGACAAGCTGTCCTTCTTTCTTTATTTTTTGCGACTGGTTGTAGTTTGATCCATGAATGGCTTTGACAGAGGGGCACAGTTGCCGTTTCCAGAATCCGCTTTTCCTCCTTTTACGGTTTCTGGATTTTTGCGAGCAGTTGCCAAAATAGCGTTATGCCAAGCCAATCAGGAAATATAATTTTTTGTATGGAATGCGTCAGAATAAATAAAGCCTGTTTTTTCTGTTTAAACCTTAAGCCTTTGCTCTTCACATCTGTCAAAACCAAACACACCTGGGACCGTACCGACACACGCGTCAAGTGTGAGGGCTGAGTCTGATTTAAGAAAGAAAAAAAATCTAAATGAATTCAAGGAGAAACCGTCATGTGAGCTTGAGTTACTGCTAGTCGTCTGTGTCCACTACGTGCTGTATTATGATCAGCTGACTTCATTTATTTGGCTCCTGTAGATAGCCTCTATTGTATTGTTCACTCTTATTTGACCTGCGAATTCTGTGTGGACTAACATTCAAGGCACCAGTGCTTGTTTGAGAAGACTTGGTCTGCGTCTATGCGAGGCGGCACAGAAGAAGCCGGTTTCGCATTTTTAAACGGTTGATTTTAGTAACCCATAAGTGGAAGTACCTCGTCATGTCAGTGTTCATTTTTGAAAAGTTCACTCAAATTTGGCTCTCATGTGTCTTCATTGTTCAGTGAGTATTTTAGCCTTTGACACTTTTTGGGATTTGATGTTTGCCACCTTGCAGGATGTGATCTCCCGAAGCACAGCTGCTGCATTTCAGCTCAAGACAGTATCAACAGTAAAAAAAAACTAATTTAAGATGTTCCAGTGGATGAGTTCACTGTCAGAAGAAGCTACTATCAGACTGACTTCCCACTGCGTTTGTATGTATAATATTCTGAACTGCACGCAGCTATTTCAGTAGAATGAATATATTGTTGTTTAAAACACATTGAATCTCTATTGTGATCGTCGTGTGGCAGTTTTAAGCCACACTCTGCATCCCTCTTGACTTACGCATCAGGTTGTTCTTATTCTCTGCTGTGCCTCTATGCCACAGTACAAACGAGCAGCGCTGGTATTCAATGGTATGCTTCATTTTGCGGTGTGCAAAGTATCATGGTCCCATAATATGCATATTGTTTTAAATAATTATGTTTTTGGAGTAAACTTGGTTTTACGTCTCTTGCCAGATTGAGATCTTTCTCAGCGTGGCTGCGATTGGTTCGGCGGTAGTTGGTGATTGAGGAGAAATGATGTCTCTGGCACTGCTGATGACCTTTTCTACCTGTGAGCCCTTTAATAAAAGTGTTCATATTAAAACCCTGAGTCTTGTTCGTGCTAATTTGGGAAACAAACTGGCAGTCTGGACATGTGATGTACATATAAGCGTGTGTGTGTGTTTCTTCACGGTACAAATATGATTAGCTGGGAACAGAATGTGAGGAATTTTCTTCATGGTTCGTTTACACAATCTCTTTTTTTTTTTTTCCACTTCAATAGAAAGACAACAGTGATCAAAAGCAGTTAATGAGCTGTAATAAGTCTGTGTATAATAGTAGACGAGAGAACATATGCAGACTTACGGAGACTTCTCCCTCCTGTCTGACTTAACTGAGTGAGGGAATCAATTAGTCTCGGATGTAACTTCCTGTTTCTTTCTGTCCCTGGAAATAATCCCTTTTTTTTCGAGATCATGAGAACGGTTATCTCAGAGGAGAGAGATGTGTTGTGGGTTTGACTGCGGTCATGGGAGCCGGCGTATGCGTCACATTAGCACCACAGACACATACCAAGAAAGACCAGCGAGGAAACCAAAAACAAAAAAACCACACACCAAGTGTGGTGCTGATATTTTCTTCAATGTGTGAGAAAGAAGTTGCCACAGACGGACTACTTATGAAAGCAAGAGCCATTTAATAACATATCTAGAGGGATTTTCTCTCATAAAAATGTTAACAAGCATCTCACAAGGCTTTATTTGTTGTAACCCCGGCCAGCAGCGCAAACATTCCTGAGAGGACGTCTTGTTGGTTACATCCTCGTCTTAGAACTCATTATGTACAACCTCCTCTCAGGCTGTTTGGCAGAACAACACAAATGCAGCTTTTACAGATATTACATCGCTATTGACGCAGCCTATTCATGACATCCACAATGAGCGCGCAGAGTTTAATTTCCCGCCTCATTGTGCCGTTCTGTGTTGCTGTGTGGTCAGTAAAGTGTCTCCAAGCGGCCGTCCTCTCTCATCAGCAGCAGTTGGATTTCCTCTTGCTCGGTTTGTCATCGCCTTCTGTTCTGTCTGTGAGTCCTGTGTGAAGCAAATACAAACAAGGAACTGAACATTAAGTGAGCCACACTGTTGTACTGGGAGACGTGTTCCTTCATAACCATAAACATGGGTAATGTAGATCATTTTAAGTATATGAAGGATGCCATATATATACTGTACATATATTAGAGCAGTGGTTCCCAACCTGGAGGATGCAAAATGATTCAAGGGATAAGAAAGAAAGAAGTCATAAACGTTTGTTTGCCACAGAGCTTATTTTCTGCAAAAAATTCTAAATCCAATGCAAGAATCCCGTCGTCTTTTCATCTAGAGAACCAGTGCGATGCTACCTTCCACAGAAGCAGGGAGGAAGAAGAAGACTGCTAGCAAGTGATGGTCATGTCTACATGGTAACCCTTGTTTTATAAAACTCTGGTGAGATAAAAACACAGGGCACATTTAAATTGATGGACAAACAAGCGAAGATGGTTGGTGACCACTGAGCACTACATTTTTATTAATCTGTGTCTGAAACTAGCCCCGTGCAGACACATTATTTACTTCTGTTTGAGAAATGTTTACTGGTTAAGTGATTAATTAAACTACTGTTTATTTGTGATTTGTTTCAGATTTACACCTTCGGTAAGAACAAATTGTGCGTATTGAGGTGTTGAAGATGGAGTGATTGCTGATGCATGATCTTTTTGTGGAGAAACTCAGTTTTACAGTTCTGTCGACAAAATCAAAAAATATTATTTTTGTGTCTTAATAACATCTGTCTTGTCCTCTACATTTTCTGATCCCAACTTTAGACATGCCAGAGATACAGAACATAGGCTGAAGCACTGCTTGGGTTCACATGTCATGAGAAAAACAGATTTTCAATTATGGAACTAATCAATTAGTAAATAAATCAAAAGAAATAGGTAAAAGTGTGACGCTGCCTTCTTACTACGAGACTTAATTGAGCAAACTGACTCACTGATAATGTCTCCGACGTGCCTCGAGCCACTTTTCTCGATCTCGGACAAAACGTTTGCCTCAAATGTCAGAGAGGCCACGCGGAAGAAGAAGTCCCCGACACCGTCTCCTGGATCAATAAAGAGATGGAGGAAAGAGTTTAGCGAGACAGAAAGAGGACAAAGCGGAACATGAAAAGCATGCAGGGATGATGACTGAGGGGGATTTGTTCATGATAATAACATGTGATTGACTCCCACCTGACTTGGCAGACACAGCCCAGTACTCTGCTTTGATTTCCTCAGAGAGTCTGATGGCTTCCTCCTCAATCTGAACCAACTGATCAGGAGACTGAGGAGGGAAACAGAAAGAAGGCAGTTGGAACGGGGCAGAGGATGAAAGTGATGAAGCTTCAGGCCATTAGTCACTATAGCAATAGGCTGATCATGGTAAGAGATTCAGAGCTGCAACAATCAGTCAAATAAACAGTTAAGGATTTATTTTCTGTCGATCGACAATCAATCAATTAACTGACTCGTTTTTGATTAATTCCACCCACACTGAGGTCTTTCTTGGTACCGACAAGGAACAGTAGAACACTGGACGGGTCATTTTCCTTCATGGCGTCCTCCAGCCACTGCCTGCATAGACAGACAGTTGTTATTAGACTTCAAATGACATTTTAGTGGTACAATAATTAGATTATAATTCCTCACCTGGCATGTGTTAAAGAGCTCTCACTGCTCAAGTCGAACACCACTATAATGGCTGGAGAGACAGACAGTATGAACAATGAGAAGGTGTTTGAGACGACACTGTTCATTCACTTTAGTAAGAGGTGAGACGTTTAACACTAGACTTTGGAGACTGAGCTACATTCACCTTGTGCTCCTCTGTAATACGTTGAAGCGATGCATTTGAAGCGCTCCTGACCTGCAGTGTCCCACCTGAAATAGATCAGATGCAGCTTTGAGATATTTGGTGCAGATGACGGGAAGAGGAGAGAGAAGAGCTGTGGGACGCTGTCCCCTTTAATGACACTAATTCTACACACGTGCACTTACCTGCATGACCAAAGCCAACACAGAGAAATGTAATTACATAATGTGAGGCCTTCAATTTAAGTCAAACTTAGGTCGTGTAGCATTAAAAAGACCTTTTTGACCCATTTGACCCCGATGAGTCAGTGCAGGAAGTGAGTTAGTTTGCTGAGGGCTCAGTGTGTGTGTGCGTGTGTCTGTGGTGTGGCGACATACTTACAGCTGTAAGCTGAAGGGAACACCGAGCACCTCGAAACGCTCCATCTCAAAATCCACTCCTATGGTTGCTTTGTAGTTCTTATCAAACGCACCCTTACGAAACCTTAAAGGAACAAGGGGAACAGTGAAAGAGAGAGAGAGACATTTCTGACATGTCTGGAAAATGTCATAAACGTGTGTGGTGCATAACTGAGTTCTACTTTTTCTTCTTCTTCTACATCGTGTTCTTCTTCTTCTTATTATTATTAACAATAACCACAATCTAAATCATAAAACATGTCAATAAAATGAAAAGAATAAAAGCAGGAAAAACACAAGAGAAAGCAAGTCTATTAAAATGGGTTTATGAGGTGATTTTAAAGAGATTACTCATTCTGATAAATAGAAAATGTTGACTGATCAACAGTCAGACCTAATACATTCATTTTATCTCACCTGATTAATTAAATACTAAATGATTGGAGAAAAAACAAATAGTCACAGGTTTGCAGTATCATATTCTTAACCCTGACTGACATTTCAGATCTAATAAATCCATATAAAAAACAGTCAAGTCTGTGTTTCCGTGTGTGACTGAACGCCACATCATTACACAACAACTTTATGTTGACACGTGTAGCTTTTATAAACTTACATATGTTTCTACGTATTCAAGTGTTTCCGTAGCAGGGTTGTAGCACTTCCACAAAAATGTGAAATGAAAAAAGGCAAAACAGTCATTGACCTGTAAAGATTTTAGTTATCCAGAACTATGTAAAAAAAAATTGAATAATGCCCAAAATCCCTGCAGCTAAAAACATCTGCAGAGGAAAACACTTCAACAAGTAATACAGCCATAATTCAAATCAGACTAAAATCTACTAACAAATCTAAAGACAGCCACACTATCCTTTAATTGATCTAATTATTCATGACTGCTTCTTACCTGCTGATCAGACATGTTTTCCCAACCGCAACATCTCCCACCACGATGACCTTCGCGATATTAAAGCTGGCAACAGAAAGCCTAAAACAGTCATTCACGACTCCAGACAACAATAGCATGAAACACACAGCAACGTGATCAATGACATGCAGACGTTATTGAACTGCTTTCTATGCCTTACAGCCCCCTTGATAACGTTTAGATATTCTTAAATAAGTAGCTTTAAACAGACCAACAGATCAATGCAGTCAGATGTGAAGGGTGAGGTCGAGGTCTGTCAGCTGACTCAGCATGACTTAAAGGGCCCGGCCTGAACTGATTCATTGAATTTAAAGACATCACAGTGTGTGTAGTAGCAGGAAGGGCGGCCGGGTGGTGTGTTGTCTGGTTCACCCCTCTGTGACCTTACCTCACTGTGTCTGTCTTCTGTACCTGGCATGCAGCCTTCACCTGTGGGTGGAAGCCATCTTTGGTGTGCAGCGCTGCATTCGGACTGAAACACTGTAAAGAAAGTGGGAGAGGAAATGGAAAGAAATTAATTGAAAAAGGATCATTGGACAGTCAAAAAAAAAAAAGTAGAGGGGAGGTACACTGAGTGTTTTTTTTCCTGGCTATTAAAACAATCCTAGAAAATCTAAAAAGTGGAGAAGTTGCAATGTTACAAACTTGAATCATCCCTTCCTTCCTCTGGCTACTAAATTGTTGCTGTCCAGAGAAAAGCCTGTATTTCCAAACAGTCATACATATGGCAATGAAAAGAGGCATTGCTTTATCTTAAATGTAACTCAAATATCACATATCGAATGCTGGAGTAACAACATTTTGTGAGGACAACATTTTCCAAATGTGCAGCCATTTCCAGAGAAACAAAGAGCAGCATTTAAGACTCTAAATACCCTCATCATCAGCAGTAACACTGTCGGCTGTAATTGTATTACAAGGCATGTGTGAGTGAGTGTGTGTCACTAACAGTTGGAAGCTGAGCAATGACCCGGTCCTTCTTCACAGGTGGCAACATGCTGCTGCAGTGGATCAATGCGCACACACCTTCAAAGTGCCCCTCTGACTGACAGCAAACACACACTTTTCATTCACTTCAAGAAGACACACACACACACACACACACACACACACAGTTAACTTTCTTTTCCACTACTCCTTCCGCAAAACTAGGGAAGGATAGGTAATGTCGACACAGTTTTCCTGAAAGAGAGCAACTAACAGAAAGTTAATATGTTGTTAAATATATGCAGAGTAAATCAGAAACAGTTTGCAGTGAACTAACATCATCAAATCAGGTTGGATCAAATTGTGAAGTGGCAACACTGCGTGACATTTCTCATTGGACAATTTGTAGATCAAGATTTGAGGAAGGGTGTGTTATAATTGTGTTTGCAGATAAGGGATGGAGCAAAAAAGAAACTTACTGTGTAAAACAAAAACAGGTTTAAGTAAGTTGATCAACTTTACCTGAAACTGCTGGGTGGTAAAATGCGGAAGGAAAGGTGCGAGATGTGATATCCAAAGTCTGTCGAGAAAATAAACCCGGAACAAAATGATCCTCAGCAACGAACTGAGTCTCCGGACTGAGAAGCTCACAGACATGCAACTAATGAGACTCTCCGTGTAATTAGTGGGGAAACCCGTCAATAAACCGTGAAACAGCGCCAACGTGTGGCCAACTGGTATTTTTACATTTTTTTATATTCTACAATAATTAGATTAGTTCATTATAATTCATAGGATGTGGCAAGTATATATTTACATGTGCAACATTTAAGTTGCCATCGCATGCTTGAGAGTAATTTTAGTTTCTGGGTTTGTTTCGTGGGGGGAAGGTGTGAGTATCATGTGGAACAGTGGGGTGCAGCCTACACTGTCTTTATCACATTAGTGTCGTCTTGGTGTTGATGAAAGAAAGTCCAAACACAAGAGAATGTGTTGTCTTCAGTCCAGAAGAACTAGAGAAAGCTGTCGACCAAGAAAGCAAGTTTACAGTAAAAACAAAAAGGCAGAGATTTGAGCAGCAGAACTAATGCACATTTTATGCCAGCAGAAAATCAATAAAAGGTAAAACACAAAAATAGATTGTAACCAAGCCCAGGTGACGAGAAAAGAGACCTAATTTATAGCCCATAGCTGTAACAGGAGCCCCAGAGTTTAACACACGTTCAGTTAAATAAACTGTTTTAAAATAAATTAAAACATGGACACTTTAGAATATTTCCATTCATGCTCTAATGAGTAAACAACAGTAATCAAACTAATCAATAACTGTATTAGTAGTTTCACAAAGAACATGTCTTTAGGTTCTAATCTTAATCTGCAAAGTAATTCAATAATTTGGCCCAATATATAATTGTAGTGAAGTGAACGATATTGTAGTATTTGTCTATAACCCTACGCTTAAATATAGTGCCGTATATTACGTATTTAAATTTGACTTGAATTATTTATTCACACAAGAGTAAATTCATCCAATAACCCAGTATGATGTCGTGATGTTTACCCTCCGGTACAGCAGGGGGCGACAGAATGCCTTTTGAGTCGGTTGATCGCGCGCCAAAACTAAAGACCAAGTGACGTTGTATTCCTGCGACATTAAGGGTTTAAATATTTCGCCATCGCGACTATTCTGTCTCTTTCCGAATAGTCTGTTGAGACTAGAGGTGCGTCAGCCACCGCGGTCATTTTTTAACTTGTTAAATGTAGTCAATGTTTAGAAAGACGCACCACTGCCGGACCCAGCAACACGTTAGTAGAGCTGTAGTTTGAGACTGATTGACACGAGGTATCTACTAGCTTAAGTGTAACGTTAGCGTTATCCTGACAGGGCCTCAAGCAGCCACGTGGAGAACACCCGAAAGATGGACAAAATGAAAAAGAAGTGAGATTTTCTTTCAGCCTTTCTTTCAATGAGATTCTGTCGTTTCGCTGCATTATTGTAACTCGTGTTTCATATAAAAGTTGAGTCAAAATTACCTTGTTGGTTTTTCATGTTGAAATATTACCTATGAGTTTAGAATCTTGTCCTTTTAGTGTAATCTAAATTAAACTCGTTTTTATTTATTATAAATATCTCTAATTGTTTTGTTTTTTTTTTCTCCATAGGTTGCCCTCCTGCTGGCAGCTCTTTGCACAGGATTTACAGGCCATACATTGGATAAACTGGGCCTCCTGATGTATCTACAAGGTCAGTTACGGTGATGAAAACCCTAATGTGTCTTAATGCAGATGTCTGTGATGAAAACTGTGAATAGGAAGTGCCGTCTGATGCGACAACTGACGATGTTTCATTCTCACTGTTCTGAGTCCAAAACTGCAATTCTGTGATCAATCTTTACAAAATGTCAATGGTACTTATACCATTATACTTTTGTTTTTTTAAGACTAGTCAAAATGGAGCCATTCAAGATGCCAAGTCACAACTGAGGTTAGTTTAATGTGTCTTTATTTGTGTAGATTTGAAGCTTTATTAAACAAATTGCTGTTAATTGTTGTGATGAACTCTAAACTGAAATGCTGGAATTACCGGCAGATTGTTTAGTGGTGAGACTCGGTTTTCTGAACATTGGAAGATGCAGTTCTGTAACTCAAAGTTAATTGACATGTCGCTAACAAATCGTAACCTTGTTTCCCCCTTTGTAGATAAAAAAAGCTTGTAAGCTGTCATAAGATGTGACACTTCATCTTGCGTCTTCATCCAACTACACCAGATGTCTAAAGATTCATGCTGTGCAGGTGAATATGCTTCTCATGTCTGAAAAAACTACAACTCGCTGCTCCTGTTGTGATGAACTCTAAACTGAAATGCTGGAATTACCGTCAGATTGTTTAGTGGTGAGACTCGGTTTTCTGAACTTTAGAAGATGCAGTTCTGTAACTTGTAACTCAACATTAATTGACATAATGTCGCTAACGGATTGTAACCTTGTCTTCCCCTTTTGTAGATGAAAGGCTTGTGAGCTGCAGTATGATGTGACATTGCCATCCTGCGTCTTTGTCCAACTACACCAGATGACTAAAGATGGTGCAGGTGAATATGCTTTCCATGTCTGAAAAAACTACAACTCGCTGCTCCTGTTGTGATGAACTCTAAACTGAAATGCTGGAATTACCGGCAGATTGTTTGTGGTGAGACTCGGTTTTCTGAACTTTTAGTGGCGGCTTCACACAGTGCACTTGTGACATAACTTGTGGACTCAACTTCCTCTTTCTTATCCCTCAGAATTGGATCAAGTGGTTGCAGCGACTGCCTTTGTAAGCCTGCCAGCTGCATCTGGTGAGAATCCATCCGATTAATTTTAATGAGAATAATTATGTATACTAGTATTTTTTGTTTGTTAATCAAGACTTCTCTGACTTCTTCTCTTCAGATGACAAGATCTGTGGGCACCATCTGAAGCTGCATGTCAACATGTTTGTTTAAAAATCATCTCCCTGTGTAAGAAGCAGAATTAACTGTCAATAAAGTGTCATAACAGCCTAAAAAAACTGATTGGTCTTGCCTTTTGTTGATCTTGCACTAACGCACACATATAAAGGTGACATTTTTGAAGTAATGCCCTAAAATGCTGAGATCCCTCCCAACCTTCAGAAAGATGCTGACGGAACACCAAAAGGCAAAGTTGCATCTGTGATGGCCATGTCTGTTGCTGAGCTTAGTGACCAGAAAGTCATGGTTCGCTGCACATCGCAGGAAGGCCGATGGATGATTGACGTGTCTGTTTGGATGTTTTGTTTTTTTTTTTTTTTGTTTCAGGAATTTGCTTCAAACAAAAGGCCTGTCATGGAAAATGAGTGGACATGTTTTTGATGCCATGTTTTTATCCCAGCTGGTCACATATTCACAAAGGGAACATAATCAAATGAGCATATTCAGGTCTTCACATGAAGTTTTGGCTAAACAGAATAGTGCCTTGACCAAAAAACATCTCGGGGCCCCTCCACTCTGACGGCACTATAATTAAGTCAAACAATGCAGCCATCTTGGGCCTAAAGCAGAGGGATGTCAGTTGACTACTGTGAAATAGAGATTTGTGACACTAAACTTGTTTTTAATGTGTAGAAGACTGAGGAGATGGTGTTTGCCTCTCGGGCAGTGGGTGATCCTAGGTTATTCAAAATGAATCCATCAGCCGGGTCGGCTATTGGAAGTACTTCGAGGCTACTGGCGCTACACTCGGCCACAACCCATTTTGAAAGTCTGCTCTAGACTGAAACAGCGAATATTTTTTACGCATTGAGTTGTGAAGCGGTGCTTGTGGCCTTAAAGACCAACTAAGGTAACGCGTTGAGGGGTGTTGAATCCAATCTCCGCCTGAAGCTGACTTCTATTCAGCCGGATATCAAAGACTAACGTTTGCAGCAGCTTCACCCATCTCGTTAGGCCCTGGTGGTGAGCCTGTTGCATCACACTGTATAGTTTACACTAGTTCACAGAATTGTGTATTTAAAAAATCTTTTCATGAGTTTGCAAAGTCAACAATATAACCTCCTTGGCAGAAAAAAGAACAAATTCTGATATATTTTAACTTTCAATGCCACCTGTTTTTTGTTTCAGGGTTTGTGGATGTTCCAGAAACATAATTGCTGGCTACACAAAGTCCAAAAGCCCATATTTTTCTGAAGACATGGAGATTACTTTGAAAGTAATAACAAGTCTGGTCGGGCTGATGTTTGTGACAAGTGTGCAGAGAATGTAGATCCTGTCACATTTGATCAACGTACCATGTTGCACTACCCAGTGATGATTAGATCTAAACACAAGTTTAGTTTGCTTTCCTGTTGCACTGCAGCGAACATGTCCTAATGTTTGAAAGTCAGTGTTGCCTTCATTTCATGATCTATTTTAGACGTGCATTCAATTACAGAAATGCTCGTTCAAGCAGCAGACTTAGTACAATTGTGTTTATAGTCTTATTGGAGCAAACGCGGCGTGCTGTGTTGTATCACATGCAACCATCAACCATTCCTTGTAAGCTGTTGTCATGGCTTAAATGAAACATTAAGGATGACTTCATAAGTGAAATCCAATCACTAGTATTGTTACCGTAGTACTAATAACTTTATGTCCTGTTTTCACATATTTCCTTTAGTGTGCACTGCAAACTAAAATAAACAGACTCGGAGGAAAGCGTCACCAGTTTGAACCAATATTAATGTAGCCTGTGAAAGCTGCTGTAACAAGTTTCAACAAACCTGCAGATGAGAAAGTAAACTGATGAAGAGATGTCGATTATGGCTTGGTGTGTATACATTTGTGTTCAGTATTGATAATTAATGGCAGATTACTTTTAACTCGCTAACAACAAATTGTGAATGAAATATCCTTTATTGCATGGCGTTATAGCTGATGATGCACAACATAACACCATGCCCTAACAGTTATTGCATTATGTATAGTATCCATCCCTTTATGTACTCTTAAGTATGCAGTCAGTAATCCACATTCCTTTAAACACCTGCATTAGTTCCACATTCCTTCTTTCTGCTATTAAAGGCTAATTTATATAAGCTACTGTTTATAATTTGGTGCCTTGGGAATTAGCATCACATTATGTTAGTGCCACAGGAAGTAAAGCTGGCAGACATTCCTGGCACCCTGCCTGCTACTACTACTAACCGTACATTACAATGTAATTAAATTGAATAAAGAAAGCTTTGCTCATCGGTACTTTCTGTCTTTGCTTTACAGTATTTATTCTATTGTTTCCGCATTTTTGGTAAACTTATATAATGTCTCATGGCAGATGGGTGCTGCCCTGTCAGGAATTATTGGAAGCTTTTGTTTCTCCTTTGTACGCTTGTGATTTGTCATTTGCTAGTGAAGACACCAAAAAAAAGAGCACAAACCGAGATCCAATATTTAGTTATATTCAGTATCATGACTTGTCTGTAACTTCACAAGCAATCTTTATTTCAAAAACATGTTTGTTTAACAGTCTGCACAGCACCAGCCGCTAGCTTTTCCTTGCAGGCATGAGGCTTTAAACCGGCAACATGTTTGTATAAGTTTGTTGTACCTTTTTATTTTTCACTACTCCAGTTTACACAAGACTGGAGGAAGATTAATAGCAATAATACAATTCTCATTTTTTGTGGTTTGCACTGATAACAATTCTGCAGATCTGTACTTCCTGAGCTTTCTGATGATTTGCATATAGTGCTGCAGTGCTTTTTAAATATGTTTTAGACTTATGTTGCATTCAAAATATGTGTTATTTGTTGGGGGTTTTTCTTTACAGATGTTTTCAAGGACAAATCATCAAAATGGAGTGATCCACATGTCCTGGAGCGAGGCAAGTCTGCTTCCACTTAAAGCCACACGTTCTTCTTTTTCTTTCTCAAGACGTCCAACACACGTAAAACTACACGTCGCAGAAATATTCACATCAACAGCTGAAGTAAAAGTGGCACTACTGCCAAATACAAATACAGATTCTGCTGCATTGACAATGTAACTATTATTAGTACAAATGTATGTTAAGTATTGCATTACTACTATCAATGAAGCCATGTATAAATAACATTTTACTGTTGTAGATGTTTGGTGTGCCTAGTTGTGACACACTTCTATATCTAATCCATAACAAGGATTCAAGGATCATTTATTGTCATAAAGCTTCACAGGAATGCACAACTAAATGCAGTTTGCAACACAAGAAAAACATGACAAACAAAACTAAACGGTTTTACGAAACTGTCTGTTTTTGGTTTCAGTGGTCCAACTTCTCCATGTACAACTAGACCGAAGCCGGCACAGGAGCCACACACGAGAAGATTACTGCAACCAAATGCTGCTTTTTGATTTTTTAGAATCGTCGTCTTCTTGTGCGCAGCCTGTAGAGCAGCAACACGTTTCTGTGGTCACATTGTGAAATAAACGTCGTTACCCTCTGAATGGTGAATTGAAATCTTAATTCTTGTACACATTTCAACATCAAACTGCAAGTGGTGGCTGAACAAACAGGAAGCAACAGAAGAAACTGTGGAACAGAAATGATTTATTAACTCATCACTGGACTACAGGGCAAAAATACAAAAGAATTAAACAAGTGATCAGAAACATCATCACTGGCTCACACGTCGTTCCACTTCTTCTGAATTACGCAATAAGATAAAATGTACTTTATACACTCATTCCTGTGTGTGACGTGGGTCTCACGTTTAGAAGTTTGTGTTCTCATTTCAACAATAATAAAGTCCAAATCCACCAATTCTAGTTCAAAAGAAAGAGACCGTCCAGCTCTGTGTCGTCACTGAAGACCAGCACACTCTGCTGTTTGGATCCGTCCACTGCAGTGAATAAGTGGAGTCAGCACATACAGGATACGGTTGGCAATATTTTCCATATCGTCAGCAGATCCCACAAGACTAAAACTGTGAGTTATCTGGTTAGTCGATGCCACAGCTACCTCTATTGTCCGAAACTATTACATCAATAAGCCACACTATGGAACTGGGTGACATGTTCTTTGATTACAACAAACACCGGACTTATACTGGCAACTGTGGCCCCGTGGTAGAGCAGGGTCGTCCTTCAATCGGCGGTTTGATCCCCGGCTCCGCTAGTCCGTGCCGATGTGTCCTTGGGCAAGATGCTGAGCCCCAAAATTGCTCCCGTAGCCTTCGGTTTGTGAATGTTGTAAGAATGTTAGATGGTCCTGGTGGGCAGGTGGTAGCCCCCCCTTACCATCAGCGTGTGAGTGATGACATGTGGTGTTAAAAGCTCTTTGAGAGGTCGGAAGACTAGAAAAGCGCTTTATAAGTACAGTCCATTTACCACGACTTTATTTTGAGTTAATTCCACAAACGTTGTTCCAGTAAATACTCACTAGAGCAGCAAAAATAAAGGCTAAAAATAATACCCAACAAAAGCAATATAACACATATTTATTCCTGATAGAAGAAAGCTTGCAAAAACTACAGTGCTCAGCTGTTTAGCAAAATCAGTGAGCCTTGAAAAGTTTTGAAAGATTTACATCTTCAGTCACCAGTGGGCTTGGAAGTCGGAAGGTGTTGACAGTAGAATACACTAACTCAATGTTGGTTTTTGGTATTTTCATAGGATTTGTTGAAAAACAAAGACGTAAAATAACAGAAGCCGTATCTTCTACACTGTGCTGCACAGCTCTCAGTCCTCCTTCTCTATATACGTCTTACAGGACGAGCGTGCTATCTGTCTGGCCATGTACCTGTCCCTCGCCGTGCTAACGGTATGATCCGTGCAGCGCTTGGCAAACTTGTTCGCCTTTTCCTCCATATCCTCTTTCTCCTCGCCTTTCTCTTTCTCTTCATCTTTATTTTCTGTGCTCGGTTCTCCGACTGCTTCCTTCTTTTCTGGATCTTTTTCGTCCCCCTTCACTGCCTTCTCGTTCTCTGGCTGCTTCTTTCTCTCCTTCTCTTCTTCCTGATCTTTGTCCTTACGCTTGTCCTCCTCTTGATTCCTTCTCTTTTCTCTTTCCCCATTCCTATCCCTCTCTCTTTCCTTCGGGCTCCTCTCCCTCTTCCCATGCCTGTCTTCCCTGTCTGTATCCTTGCCTCTGCTCCTGTCGTCTTCTCTGCCTCTGCTCCTGTCTTTCCTTCCGTCCCTGTCGTCTCTCCTGTCGTCTCTCCTTCCGTCCCTGTCGTCTCTCCTCCCCCCGTGTCGGTCGTCCCTTTCCCTTCCCCTGTTTCGGTCCCTCTCTTGATCTCTGTGCCTCTTCTTTTGTCTCTCTCTCTCCTTCTCTCTCTCCTTCTCCTCTCCGCTCCCTGAGGAAGGTGACCTCTGTCTATATTGGCGTTTTGAGTGTGCAGAGCCTGCCCCAGGCTTGCTAAATTCAGATTTCGGCTCATGCCCCTCCTCGCTGTCGCTGCCTGAGCTTGGAACATTGTCACGGGACGTAGATGAGGGAACGGGTGAAGTCGTCTCTGTGTCTTTTGAAACCTTTGTGTTTTCAGTTCTGTGGAGGCAGAAACAGAAAGATGCACATAAAGAATAGTTTTAAAATGATGTGCGTGTTCTTGTTTCCTTTACGGATGAACAAGTGATGCGAAGCTGTGACTGACTTGTTGGCTGAGCAATCCGGTATCGCCTCCTCTCCTACAGTCTGATTCAGCAGGTGGCGGTAGAAGCCGCTCAGATCTTTTTGTTTCTTCACGTCCAAAGCCGCTAATTAAAACAAAAATTTATTCAAAACACATCATTTACATACCTTCGTATGAAGTGGCCTCTTTTCCACAACATGTTTAAGACCGTCTCTTCAGGTCATGCTTTGTGTGCCTGAAGGAAGGAGATACTTCTCCAAAGACGTTTTACATAACCAGATGTCTTAGAGATTACAAAGCGTTGCTATGAACAAATACAATTTAAAATACATTCATATGTTCATATCTGGAGTTTAAAGTCTCGCTCTAACCTTCCATCGCTTCCACTCTTTTTTCTTTCTCCAGCTCCTCCTTCTGCTCCTGCAGTTTGAGTTTGTAGGCGGACGTAACGTAAGCGTCTTTATCTGCAAACTGCTCTCCTTCTGCCTCTCTCTCCTTCTGGATCTTCCTCTCATCCCTTCGTTCTTGTTCTTTCTTTCGGTCCTCAACTGCTCTCATTAATTGGTGGATGTACTTTGGCTGGAACAAAAAAAAACACGCACCAGTAGGATGTCAGAACAACATATTTTAGTGCACGCTGGACAGTCTCTCTCTCTCTCTCTAACCAGCACTTTGAAATGCTGCAGCCATACAGGTATTTGACACAATGAGATTACCTTTTTGTCAGCGCCTCCCAGCATTTTTTTGTTGGTCTCAAGTCTCTGTTTCTGAATGTCATCGTACACACCATCGTAGTCATACACAGTGCTGTCCTGTTCCAGGGCCTTGTGCATCTCCAAACGGGTCTTTAGAACGAGAGCGAGAGAGACCAGAGAAATGTAAATCACAGAAGTATGACTGTTGAAAAATAAAAAGTAAACTAGTGTATAGCTACATGGACTGAAATCACATTAGGTCCTTTAATTCTTCCTCTCACCTGCTTCATCATCTTCTTTTTGACAGCCTCTTTCTGCAGAGTCTCCCCAACTGTGGCCTGAGGAACAAAACATATCCAGCACTTTTTTAATTATCATTTATTTTACAGAATTATTTTTAGTTTCCATAATAGGGGAAATACTTTAAATTCCAATGCAGTGATTGGTGAATGACAAGAGACAAATTGTTTTTGTCCTGCTTGTAACAAATCCAGAAGTTTACTCACCTCATCGTCCGAGTCATCCTCGAACACCGAGTGTTTCTGCAGGCTCTGCACTCCTTTCTTCTGTGACAAGATCAGCCCGTACCTGGACAATAAGGAAGCAAGGCTTCGTGAACCAGGTCATACCAAAACCATCTGTACTTCACATGCGAGTCGTAGTTCATTGAGAAAAGGTGTATCTCTACTGAGGGGGGGGGGGGGCATTTGAATGACCAGCAAATGGCCTTAATTAAAGTGGGTGATTTGTACTTCATTTTGAGGGTGACTATCTGCATAGTGAGAGTTACAGATTTGGTCTCCAGGATTCAGAAACAAAAAAACACATATCTGTCATCAATAAAGTTTATCTTAGAATTAGACAACACAACTCGTAAAGAGCGAACTATATATTTTCCGTTTTCCAGTGGCAAGGGCAGCGATATTCATAGTTTGTTAAATGCTTTATGAGACGGTTGACTTTCTGCAAACAATAGGTTAATGCAGTGCGTTGTGCACCAGAGAAAGAGAAACACAAAACGCCTAAAACCGATACGAAATCTACCAAATGAGGTAACTCTGAATGACTAATTTTAGCTGGGACACATTCCCTGACAGGTTGTCTTTGGTGAGGTAAAAAAACTAAGAAATTGAAGGGCAAGTTGATATATAAATGTCAGGTATGAAAAGGTGCCAATCCAAAGCATCGTACAAAAAAAAGGACCATATTTGTGTAGGTTTACTAACGTAGCTGGTTTAATCGCGAGGTTAGCATAACGTTAGCTAACGTCAGTTAGCGTTAGCTGCAGGAGCAGCAGAGGGAGAACCACCGTTTTCACAGACAATCCTGAGCCGTAACAATACGGCTGATATAACATACTAAACTCTTTGAAACTACTATAACTACAACCCTGACCAAGTTAAACAGTCGTCTTTAAATGTGTGTCACACAGTGTCGTAGGTGCGTTAGCTTTTCTACAACTTACTGTTTAGTAGGGGCCGCCATCTTGCTCTGCTGACTGTGAACGAGAACAACAGATTCGACACAATATTTTATTAAACCAAATATGCTCTATAACTCTCTCTGAGTAAACTCATAAATGACAAGTTCTGCTATGTACACGACAGACATGTATGTTTTTGGACTGCGGTCAAATCAGCAGATACTCGGATCTCCGTGGTCAACCCAGCAGACACTTAAATTTGAGTGCGCCGATATGCTGAAATTCACGGTAAACGCATTCTAACGGCACAGATCGGGAGCACGCGAGGACTTTGCAAAGTTAGCGGAAAGATTAACGTGAGACAACATCCGGTTTTCAAAATAAGATGTAAAAGGATAACGGAATTTATCTGGACACAAATGCTTTTAATTTAAAACTGTTAAAAGATAGGCCCAAAGATTATTTTGATAATCCTAGGCACCATTTATCACTGGGACTTTATTGATTTAGTCTCCTACAGAGTCTGCATTTTATCAAGTTAAAATGCAGACATTAAACAGGCCAACATTAAACATCTAGTCTCAATTAGGCTTACTCCGAGTGTAATCATCCAAAGCTCATTTTACAACCCATTGAAGGGGTCCTAACCTTCAGGTTGGGAACCAGTCTTCTACTTTATACAACCACAATGACTACATAAAAGCTTATAATAGATAAGTAGAGTAGATGAGTATTTTATATAATGTTCCTGCAACCATACATAATATAGCTGCAAAGTGCTACACTAAAAATACAGAAAATACTGCGATGAAAGTGAGTCTGCTATTCTTACTGGAGAGGAAACAAAGACATGACAGTCTGCGGCTACTATCTGTCTTAGAGCAAAGCAATTGCTCATTTCACATTATTCGATGATTTTATATGATGTTATGTTACTTTCGATGATGTCAGCTGGTCTGTTCTTTGTCTTAAATCAGATCAGAGACCATGTGGCTCACCTGTGATTGAAGCTGCAGCTTTGAATTCCCCGTGCCTCCTCTGAGTGACTCTAAATCAAAACACCATTATCTCTGTCGTAATCTCCATCTCATCTCTGACCTCACTGCTAATCCCTCTGGTACAAACAGAATGATCAAAGCTGCCTGATGGATGGAAGGGTGGATGGACAGATGTAATGGTCGTAAAATGAACTACAGGGCATGTAGATAAATGGATTGGTAGGACAGGAGGATGGATGGAGTAATGGAAAGAAACTATACATGGTAAAGTTAGCCTGAAAATTGAACAAATACCTTTTTTAACTGAGAGGCCCATTCTTGCTGATGAAAGACAAGCTAATACAGTTCATTATTTTGATTGTTGTGTATTGTTTTTGCCTGGCTCCAGACCTTTGAATCTCACAATGACACATACTTCAAATACTTTTTCTTTTCTAAACTGCAGCCTTACGTTAGAGTACCACAGGTTAACTCTCTTAAACCAATACATGAATACACTCTATGGATATTGTACAGTAAACCTACATGTTTTTTATTTCATGCTTAGAATTGACACATTGACTGTAGAGGTTGATTTAGGGATAACATGTAGTTATGTTACTCAACCTGAAGTTTGAATCGATTTTAAGAAAATTATGGAAGAGCTGACTTGACATAAATTCCAGTGACTTGAGATTTAATTCACACTTAAGGTAGTATGTATGCATTAAATTGATAGTTTGCATAATATCAGGTGGTAAATAAGTGTAATGCATGCACATACATAGCATATTAAGGTATTTTTTAAAAGGGACCTCAACCAACTGTACACATCCAGATCAGTTTACTCGTCATGAGGATTACTATTCAGCCTGTAAAAACAGTTGTATCGTGTTTTTGTTTGCTCTGTGCTTTTCAAAGTCTTCAAAAATCCTGGTTTTGATATTGAAATCGTCTGACCAGCTAAGCTCCTAATAGAAGTTGACGATACAGTTTAGAGGAAGTATAACAGGCGGAAGTGAGGAACCAGTGATCAGGAATCACAACTTAAACAAAAGCAGCCCAGTTGGGCAGAAATCAGCCAAATCTGGCAACACTGAGGGGAACTATTAAAAGTGGGCGGGCAGAATTAATTAAGGGAATAAAAGTCAGGATATTTCGGCCTCTGCTGCATCGATTTTGACCACTATTTTAAAAGATTTAGTGTCTCTCAAATCCCCCAACTTTATGGAAATACAATATAAATTTCTAGAGTACACCTTTAAAATATACCTTATCTGAAAGTAATTGTTGTTGGTTGATTGCCTGACAATGGAGGTCGATATTTACTCATCTTTTACCATAATTCACCACTAAACCAGTAGCTGCAGCAGGCTTTTTGTTTGACTGAGAGACACTACTCTGGCTTCTTTGTTTACGTCCAGCACACATTGGGTTAATCGAGACGGACAAGCTATAGACAGTTGCGCATGCGCAGGTGGCGCCAACTGAGGAAAGAGCCGGGGAGTAGTCAAATAGTCTACGGTCAGTGAGAGAGAGAAGGAGCGAGCTAAACGAGAGTAGACCAACAACCCCGGTCTCAAATACATTATGCTCGTCTCGCCGCTGTCGCTTCATCTCTGATGTCCGCTTCCCGGTCGCTGAATGGCGCTGGTTACCGTGCAGCGCTCACCGACCCCCAGCACCAGCTCCAGCCCCTGCGTTTCGGTGAGAGTCGCCTTTATTTAACCCTCCTCCGCTACCGCTGACACCACTACCAAACACAGATGTCTTTAGCTGTCGAAGGTGCTTTTTAGGCTCCATTTCCGCTGTCTTCGTCGGCTGCCGACTATCATAAGTGCCTTGCCTTTGTACTCCTGCGCATGCGTGACATACAGCCGCTCATCATTATCAGTATTGTTACTCGCTGCTAAATTAACCTGCTCGGGAATGTTTTTTTTTTTTTTTTTTTTTACTGCAGTTTGACAAGACAGTGCCTTTAGTAATGTTAGCTCGATAAGAAAGCACAGCCTTCTGTTAGTGTTTCTATTCTACTGTTGACATGGTTCTCGTGTGCACATTTCCGCCAGTTCAAAGGTCCGAGTGGCCGGTAACGTCAGCTACTAACGTTACCGTCCAATAAAGGAGAAAATACCGACGTTCATCGATAGGTTGGTGGAGTTAACAGCAAATTATACTGCTAGCTAACTAGCGTAAATAAAGCTTTAGTTTAGCTATCTACCAAGAAATATGTCATGCACTTCCGCTCGTAATAAGCGCCTTGTGACCTGCATAAATGCGGGTATTTACTCTTGAACTGTTGTTGTGTGTTGTCTCTCTCAGTCTGTGTCCTCCCCAGACTATCAGTCCTTTTCTGCACGTTTTCTCTCTGTGTGTGTGTGTGTGTGTGTGTGTGTGTGTGTGTGCCCTTTCAAAGCAGAGGAGCAGGTGTTTTTTTCGGTTCTCTTTGCTCGTCTTGTTTCTACAGAAGGAATCCCACCAGACATTCAGGAAGTAGCACTCTCTGTTTCCCATTCAAGCGGTGTTCTCTTGTCTGTTTCACACAACTTTACACACTTCCTGTGTCAGTTCTGCTGCATGTGTTGTTGACGTGTCTGCGCCAGTCCTTATGTTCTTCAGAGTGATTCAGTCATTGTGACATTATGTGATAAATGATCTGCTTTACTTCCCATAGCTGGTCAACTAGACAGCGTTACTGTTCGTAACTTCTATATGAGTATATTACCAGTAAGACATAGACCAGAAGAGTGGCCGATATGGATTAAAGCCAGTATTAAGGTCTAATCTATATGTATAATTTTATATTGTGACATTGATATAGGTGTATTTGGAATGAGATGACCAGACTGCAGTGTCTGTTTTTGAATTAAATACGCGACAAATCAAGTTAAGAAATCCAATAAAAGTCTAATGTTGTCGTTAAGCAGTCTTCCTCATTGATTTGCAAGTTCCCAAAACACCGAAGAGATAGCTTCCATGGAATATAATCTTTAATTTCTGATAACTTTATCTTGCTTAACAGTGTGTATTAGCATATTATTGCCCAACCCTACAGTAAAACCAGAACTGTTTTGTCTGTTTCCTTACTAGCTATTAAAATAACTGTGTTCAAATGTACTTTCTACACCCCCACTGTCACAAAAACTGCAGTCAAGTAAATTTTTTTTGAACCGAGAATGTCAGTCAATAAAATGCTCTGAGTTATGTGGCCCTGAAAGGGACCCCATCCTTCACACCTTTTGTATTCTCATCAAAACAGGTTCTGTGAGTAAGCATAATGATAACTGTCTTACTTTGTACACACACATTTTAGGTTATTTGTTCTATTATCAAGAGTGACTCAAAATATGTACAACAGTAGATGAAACAAGCATTTTTAGATTGTCAACATCAGAAGTACAGAATCTAAGTAACTCAGTGTTCACGATAGCTTCTCCTTTTGACTGATCATGTATGTTAGAGATGTGAGCCAGGACGTCTCTCATCACAACGAGCTGTAAAAGTAGAGGAAGAAGAAGATGCGTATGTGTAATTTAGCAAGGTGAAGGATGTGAAGCATTTAGTTGTGGAAATATGCTTTCAAGTTGCAACCCGCACACACATACAGTGATAACGCATCGCACAGACATGTCTGGTTTCCGGTGTATTGCCGTTGTGTGTGTGTGTGTGTGTGTGTGTGTGTGTGTGTGTGTGTGTGTGT